CATCTTATAATATGTGCAGCTTGCACATTTTTCCTACTTTTTGCAATGAACTGTTGGAATTTGGGGAAGGGGGTTGAGGGGACATGCCATATGTACCTGCTTTCAAGGTGCAAATGGGCAACGGTTTTAAAAATAAGAATAACTATAATAACTATAATAATGATGAATTTTCTCCAGAAAGGGTTTAATGGATTTAATGGGTGTAGGGGGAAAGACAGGCTGGCATTTTCATGCCAACAATGTCATGTGGGATTGCAAAATACTGACATGCATGAGAAGCACCTATCCCACAATAAACACCCACCTGGATACACCCACTGTGTCAGGAGGACCCAAAAGGGACCTGAAACAAACACCACTGCCTTCCTGTCTCCCAAGAGTATGCATTGCTTTCTGCTGCACCTTCTATTGAGTCTCTGCTTATTTTGTTTCTCCCTCCAAATTTCCTCCTGCTTCTGAAGAATGTTAATGGAATGGGAGGTATGCAGAGGAGATTAAAGTGTTCAGTTTCACCACCAAAGGTCGGTGTGATACCCAGCAAAAAAGGAAGAGAACTGCATCCTTGCATATATGCATAAATCAACAGACTTACTGATAACATTCCGAAGTCTAGTGGGCTTGCTTTCTGTGACATGTACGCAAGAACCACTCAGCAGCCGAAATATTGTTCGTATTTTTGCGTTTTTACTCTTGATTCATATTTCTCTCCCTCCATGCCTTTGTGGGGGCTTGCCAGGGATGATGGCTGCTTCAGGGACCTTGGATGAGAGCAGAATGAAACCAACCAACCAACCAATCAATCAATCAATCAATCAATCAATCAAATATGAGACTTAGCCCCCTTATAAATCAGGACATCGTCTTCTTATCTTTCTGACTATTTCAAACCCTTTTCTAAAGTTCTCATTGAGCCACGTCCTAACCTTAGCCACCTGCCTTCATTGGATCCCAAATCCTTGCCTTTACTGTCACATCTAAAAGGGCTGTAAAGTGGGATATAGTGAGATCTTTCTCGGTCTGCATCAGAATTGGAATTGTTTTTAAGATGTTTTAATCACTTGTTGTTTGCCACCCTGGACGTCTTTGGGAGGAAAGGCAGGGTATAAGTTTAATAAATAAATGCTGTGCATGACATACCATCTCAGATATGTAAGCTTTGCTTGTGCCACATAAATGCCAGAAGCCACACCTTTGGCCTCTGCAACAACCCATAGTTTACTTCAGATTTGATTCAAAGGCTCCTTTATGACATATGGGATGGTCCTCTCTCACGCAGTATAACCAAAACAATGTGTATTGTTCTAACCTTAAAGACAATGCTAATGGATACAATAGACATATTTGCATACATCACTGGTACATAGGTAAAGATGGAAATTAAAACTAGCCACCCAACAAAAGCATGTATCTTGCAATAAGCCTATCTGCATTTGAAATACATTTAAACAAAAATATCTTACAATTTCTGACTTAGCATATATGAAAACATCTAATGTATACAAGATCAGTAACATACAGTTCAGCACTTACCAAATAGAGGAGTCTGTGTGTTCTGCTCATGACGTGACATTTAGTCATTTTATTTATTTATTTCAAGGCCCCTCATAATCTGAAAGATCACCTCACCCGTTATATGCCCAATCTATCAGTACACTCTTCAGTTGAGAGCCTCCTGAAGATTCTAGTTTATCAGGAGGTCCATTCTGTTACAATATAGAAACCAGGCCTTCAGTGTTGTGGCCCCTACCCTGTGGAATTCCCACCCATCAAATATTAGGCAGGCGCCATTTTGTTGCCTTTTGAGGCCTACAGACCACATTCCCCTTCCAACCAGCCTTTTAAGTTAAAATCTTTCCCACTCTGCATCTGAACTAGAATTGTTTTAAATATGTTTTTAACACTTGTTGTTGGCCAGCCGGCACTCCTTAAGGAGTAAGGGCAGGATATAAACTGAACAAATAAATAATCTGATAACCTAAGCTGTAGTTTATTTAGCTGGTTGTGCATAAACCTGGCACTGCTCTCAGCAGTCTATAATTACTTCAGTATGTACATGAGGCTTCGCTTGCTTGATGAAGCCATCATGTCAACATTTCCCTGCATTTGGAAAGCTAATACATTACAGGGAAGACTAGGGCAAATGCCCTATGTGCACCTAAATGCGGTGCAGACCACCAAGGAATTTATCACATCAGAAACAGCATGTTTGAACTAGCTGAATCTCCTTTACAAGCCAAGGTTTCTTCTAGCTGCTCTTGAGGAGGGAACAAGACTGTTAGCATCCAACTTACTCACCCTCAGGCGGAAACCTAAATGTTTTAAACACACAACTCACATACACACATGAAATTTGTGGAATTTAATGCTATGACCACAGGATTGTGAAATTCCAAGCCACAACTGAATTATATACTGTGATAAGTAGCAAACAATGTTTTTTGAAGGAAAAGAAAAATACTTTTGAGCCAAGACAACACCTACATCTGTGTTTGCACAGCAGACAGCAACAATAAAACCCTAATCCTGATTTGGCCCTTGTACAACTTCTGTAATAGAGATTATAACTAGCCGTGATGAATATGTTCAAAACGAATTCCGTTTCAAGGCATACATCCAAGGGCAGCAAACTTGAGGTTCATGCTGACTTCTGAGAGTTTGATTTCTTAATCTTAATGGTGTGTAGCAAAAGAAAAAGAGAGAGGCGCCACGGAGTGAGAGAGAGAAAAGTAACAGAGATTAAATGGACATTGTAGAGAGTTGTAAAAATTATAGACTGAACCCACTTATATGGTTATATTCAGTCAATCATCAGGCACTGAGACAGGTTCCTTTCTACAATCTGTTTTCCAATATGGTATATCTTAAACTCTGGAGGGTGTGAAGCTTTCTGAATGACAGTGCTTCTACTGCGTTCGGTAGCAGAGTACATCCTAAGGCAGGGGTTGGGAACCTCAACCCCAGGGCCCAAATGTGGCCATCTCTCCATATCTGGTCCTCAGGAATACCCCCAGGCCACACCCCTTCCCAGCACAGCCCCCTGAGTGTTTCTGCCTGGCTGCAATGTGTCCTTGGGCTCTTGCTTGACTGAATGGAGGGTAGGGAGACATGTGTAGAAGAAAAGCACTTCCTCATGTGGTGCATACACTCCCATTGGAGGCAATGAGGGCCGCCAACTTCATGAAGGACGAGGCTATCAGCGGCTACCTGCCACAATGGCTGTGCTCTACCTGCGCTGGCAGAGGCCTTGTGCCTCTGAATACCAATTGCCGGGAATCACAGGTGGGCAGAGTGCTGCTGCGCTCAAGTCCAGCTTGCAGGCTGGAGGCGGATTTACGGTAGTGCAACCAGTTCCGCCGCACCGGAAGAACCATCGTTCTATTGTCTGGAGAGGTCACTTTTCCTGGTTTAAATGGAGAAGCTGTTTCCAGTCGAGCCCAGCAACAGAAGAGCAGCACTGGGAGTTGAAATTTTGCACCCATTAGCAATTTTGGGCCTGAGGCAACCACCCCTGTGGTCCCCTCATGCTACCCCACTGCTGGACCTAGGGAGCCTAGGGAGTGCTGCAGGGTGTCATAACTATGACATAGTGAATTGAGCAGAACGGAAGGTGGGGGGTACAGAATTTTGGCCTCTCACAGGGCACTGCTGAAATTTGAAAGGCCAAAGTCTGCCCCTGTGTAGGCTTCCTGGTCAGTTGCTGTGAGAACAGGATGCTGGACTAGATGGGCTGTTGGCCTGCCCCCGCCCCCGCCCCCGGTCCCCCACCCCTACAAGTCTGTAGTTGCCAGGTACTTAAAGGACTGGAGCACAGTTCTTTACATAGAATGGCATAAAATGTGTACATGCCGATTTATAGGTATAGATGCCCAGGAAATTTTAAATAAAGTTCGAAGTTGTAAAAGTTTCAAAAAGTTAAAAACAAAGTTTAAAAGGGAGGGAGGGCAAGAGATCCAGGGCTCACCACAAAAGACCCAGGGCAAAGGATTATTTGTGTTCACTGAACATCTCTCACTGGTCTAAGACATATTACTGAACTCATGGCCAAAGTGGATGTAACATTATGTGTGACTGCAATCTGAATGCATTTGTTTGAACACCCTCTTATGGCGGCTAATGGATCTAACTCCTGACACCAGACAGTCTTGTTGGTTTGGGTGAGAGCTCTATAAAAACGTTATGGAGGTTTTAGCTGCTTGCCCACACCCCAGAAGCCCCAAATAGCTGCAGCTTCCTAGCATGTGACCACAATTGTGAGATTTCCATTTATAATAAGGTCAGGCAGCTTCCCAAAGTGTAAAGTGACCCTCAACAGCACCTTGGGATGTGTGTCCAATTTTATACAGATTAGTTTTTGTTATACATATCTTATACATTTCTGATACCTTTAATATTTTGAAGAATTTTGTCTGTTTATGAAAACTGAAGTTAGCGGTTGGGGGGGGCTGGGACTGGGTGCAAGTAATTAGCTTTGCCTAGGACACAAGATAGCCTGGGCACTGCACCCATAGACAAAGCTGGGTGCATGTACTCCATGACTGGCAGCATCTTCCTGCCCCATAAACATAAACGATCCGAGATAACGTGTGAACCCACCCCCCAGCAACTCCACGACCTCCTTCCCCGCCTGTCACTTTTGCACGACGTCGGGGCTGTAAGGCGAAACGGTCAGGCAAGAGCAGCAGACGTGCCAAGCTGCTCCCAGAGACCCGCCCGTCGCTCGGGCGGCGGATGGGCACCGCTTGTCGCCGCCAGGGGCCCGCGCTCGCTCCTCGAGGTGCCCTCGACGACCCTGCGCGCTGGGAGATTCGGAAGGGCCTTCCCCTCGGAGGTCACGCAGGGCCTTCCCGCTCCACGCTGGCCCACCCGGCAGCCCTGCCCGCAAAGCCTGCGCCCGGAAGCGCCCTCCCGGGGTCCGCGGGGATGCAGGGAGTGGGGGCGGGCGCCCGAGGGGGCGGGGAGGAGCCGGCCAGCCGCCCGCTTCACGTGGCCCCGGGGCAGCAGGAGGTACTGCCGAGAGAGTCTCGCTCCGCAGAGCAGCCCGCGGCGGAGCGGGGTCGCCCGGGAGCCGGTCCCTCTGCTGTTCGCTCCCCCTCCAGCTCCACTTGGCACCCGGGAAGAAGAGCGCCTGCTTTCCCCGCAGAAGCGCTTCCCCTGCTGGCGCCCGCCAGGCTCCTCTGGGAAGGAACCACACGCGCCCAGCCAGCCAGCCAGGGATCCTGCAGGCGCGACGCGGCGGCTCGCCGCCCCACCGCCGGCTATGCTGACCAATATGCAGTAGGAATCGAGGAGGCATCGCTTCCCGCTCCGAATCGGGACCGGCGCGCGAGAGAAGCGGAGGGAGCCGGCGCCCGCGATGCAGCTCTTCGGGGGCTTCCTGGTGGCTCTCGCCCTGCGGGTGGTGGGCGCGCAGGTGAGCTCCGCAGAAGCCCCTCTGTCCTGGCCCCTGGCAGGTGAGGCTGGGGTGGGGCCGCCCCAGAGGAGCTGGCAGAGAGGTGTCAGAGTGGGTTTGGGGCGGCAGCAGATTACTGTTCGTGCCGTCCCGTGATCTAAAATGCGAGGAACCGGGTTGCAACGCCCTCTGTTCCGGAAGCCTTGTCCCGATCCCAGGTACGTGGAATACGACTGGTTGTTCAGTGGCTGAACTCGGCGCGCCCCACGAGGCGCAGAGCTTGAGCGCCGGGGAAAAAAGACGTGAACCCACGAGTTTACACTCTTGAAATTTACACTTCACGGTGTTTAGGGCTTTATTTTAAAACTGGAAGTACTCTACGGAGGAAAGATCTCTTGCGATCTGGAAGTTTTTTAAATCTCCAACTCTCAGGTGTGTTATAATTATTTAGTAGTGTGGGGAAAGAGGGCACTCTGTACATGCTCATAGGCACTGCTACCGTCTCCTGGAGTCCCAGGAAGCACCTTGGCACTGAGGTGGGGGGGGGAAGAGTTTACAAGGCTCAGAGGAATCCTTGATCTGGTGGGGCAGAATGCATAGCCCAGATTCAGGAATGATTGGTTGACCTGGTAAATTGCCTAAGTGTGTGGCTTCAGTTAGGGGAAAATGCTACCGGTATGTGTTGTTTTTTAGTTTTGTTTTAAAAAAACTTTTTAATTATCCTGTTCTTGCAGCCAAGATACTCTTTCTCATCCTTTCCTACCCTTTTTTTGTGTGTGAAACTGAAGGTGTTTTCAGTCAGCCTGTTTATTGAGCATTTGTCTTGATTTGTTTGCAGGGAGACTAGATTACGTTGGCTATTTAATGAACATTACTTCTGATTTGTTTGTGGGGAGGTTAGATTATTGCACACTTTATAGTTCATTTCCCCAATCATTTGGGGAAGTGGATTTCTTGTGCAAGGCTCCCAATCAACTATTAATTGCACAACCCGAATTTGCTGGTATGCGTTTGAATCCCACCTGAAAACAGCAACAATCCCCCAGATTCTCCTTCCTCAAAGTGTCCCCAGAGTCCTGTCAGTGAGTGGATGAGTCTAGAACCAGATTAGCACAGAGCATTAAAGTGTGCATGTCTTGTGAAGCATTGTCAAAGCCATTTCTGAGGATCTGCATGTCCTTGCAAGGATACTGCATCCACCACGGTATATTGCTTATCTCTCCTCTGTCAAGTTGCTACACCCAGATAGACATTTCAGAAGACTGGCACCAAGCCGTGCAGATACGCTCATGGAAGTCAAGGGCACCCAGGCTGAAAGCACCTTAAGGGCTTTCTGAAGTTCTTAACTGGAATGGAATGCAGGTTGAGTAGGCTTCCTACTTGCCTCCTGGACCACTGTTTTGCCCCAGTGCCAAGCAGTCCCTATATTCTGGCACAAACAAGCAGAAAAGCCCCTTGATTAAGATGGATTGCTATCAAGAGCAGAAGACCTGGAAAGAATCTGCCCACTTCCCCCAGCATGCTGACCTTGAGCATGCCCAGGTGGGCACTAGACTCTGGGAGGAGCAAACGTCAATAATTTCTGACCCAAGACTCTTCTTTAGTGCAAACCATTGGACTAGATGAGCCTTGAGGTCCCTTCCAAGTCTACGATTCTACGATTCCATTTATCTGGCCACCTCAAATATTTACTTGCCTCACCCTTTCGAGTAAAAACGTTAAATTTTCTGGAGAGGGAAGTTGTGCACTGCTAGACTGATATCTACTGGCCTGAAATAGAATTGCGGTTTCTGGGTGATATCCAGTGGTAGCCAAACTCAGAGTAGACCCACTGAACAAGGAGAGCACTTCTGTAACTCAGTAACCCAAGGGGCTTGCAAGAGACATGATATCATCAGTAGATTAATCATAACAGATTGGAAAAGGACTTCATTTTGAAATGAGAGGAGCTGACTAATGCTTGGCTTGAAGTCACAGTCTCTCACTTGCAGCTTCTCTCTCTAATCTCATATACATGCAAGTTGATTGGTGTAGGAAAAGCACTTTGTGCATGCTTAGAGGCATATTGTTATTGGGTTGGATCCAGGCAAAGTTAGTTGAACAAGTTATTCATGAAATAATTCAAGACCCATCCATTTCACTGGCCAACCTAGCAGAAATAGTTCTTTACTAAAATTTCTACACTACCTCTGTAAAGAAATTCTCAGGATAAAAAGAAAATATAAAGAATGGTTAAAATACAGGCAAATCAAATCAGCTTAAAAAAATACAAGGATGAAAAAACAGCAATATATTTATTCCCTTCTTGATTATTTTACATCTTCCATGTCTGGGTCTGATTTTACAATACATTGGTGAGGGAGGCAAAGTAAAAACTGTGCAGCTGATTTTAACACTGAAGCAATAATATATTTGTATTGTGAACCATCTTCATAGCCATGATAGGAAGAAAGGTGTTATTTAAATCAAGTAATTTGCTGAATAAATGTTTTGGGCTCTGGTATACCCTGGATTCAAGCATATAGAACTGATCCCAGCTGATAAGCGATTGGGAGCTTCTGAGTTGAACCCGTCACAGTGGCGGGGGCTTCTTCTTCCCATCACTCTGTTGCCCCTGCTGTGTCAAACTCTGGATTGTAAATTCCTCAGGGCAGGGACCTGACTTCCTGTTACTTTGTAATACCCAGTGCTGTAGAAATCATAATAAATATAACAGGTGACACATACATTAACCAAGGCTACCATGCACTGCTTGCTTATCAATATGTACAGGATTGCACAGTTACCAAAGGAGGAAGGAAGGAATTTTCTGTACTCTTGAGCCCTGGACTGCAGCATGGGGACAATGTGCCTTTTGACCAAAAACCTCCCTTGCAACATCTTAATCAATTGATCTTATTTTAGAAAATAAAATGCGGCCTTTAAACAAGTTTCAGCACATGAGAATCATCCCACTGTCTTCTGTGCTTTACAGAAAGGATCCACACTGAATTGCTAGAGATTTCATTGCAGGGTGTTGGGAATGCCTGGGAAAAATTACTTTCCCCTCCCCTTTCTCTCCCTAGAGGCAAGATGTGCTTCTTCAGAACAGCACCACTGAAGCGGCAGGTGAGTGTGAAACTTGTCCCTCTTTTATGAAGTCGAAAGGGCCTCCAGGAAGACACATGTGAATGGAAGAGACTTCAAGGCTCTATTATGTCATTGTCTTTGTTCTGGCAAACCAGGCAGTTGTTCATTGGTTCAGAGATGAAACGAATTTTCTGCATGCTGTCAGTGAGACTTCAAATAGCCAAATTAGCCATGATATTAAATGTGCCTTTGTATTTAATGTGCAGATTTATTTTTTTAAAAAAAATGCAAATAGAAGCTGCTGGGGGATGGGGGAGAGCTGCTAATTATTGAGATCACAGCAGGTGGGCTGGGTGGGAGATTAACCCTTTCCTCTGCTTAGGAAACTCCACCCTCTGAAGCTGGCATTTGCACTGGCAGGAAATCCTCTGTTGGGCTCAGTGCAAGATTTCCGCCCAATGCGACTACAACTTTCAGAGGAGAAAAAGAGATTTTCCTCAGGACTGCAATAGGAGATGAAAGGGTTAAATCCCCTCCATCATGATAATTTTTAGCATTTTTTAAGCCTATGCATTAAAAGCAAAGACACATTTAATGGCACATCTAATTTGGCCTATAATGGAGCCTAAGCATATGCAAATTGAATAATCACACATTCTTTCCCTGATTCCCCCTGTCTTCCCTTCCTCTATCTTTTCACTTGTGTCAAATTTTAGATTGTGAGCCCCTTGGGGCAGGGACCTTGACCTTTTGTGCTCCTCGTGCATACCGCTGAGGCTATATAAGTAAATACAGTAGTATTAGTAGCATCAGCAGCGGTGGTGGTGGTGGTGGTAATCTAACACTCTCCCCACCTCTTTGAGCACAGAGAAATTCCAGAGGTGTAGTGCTTGCCTAGGTTTGGTTTTCATTGGAAGGTAGTCACTGGAGGCTTATGGTGCTTTGCAACGTAGGAGTTTATTTTCAGATATACAGTTTGAGCCTAGGTGAAGGCACACAGCACGAAAACATCTACTCTCACTGCTCTGTCCCCAGTCAGATCTGAGCAGCTTGTAGAGCCGAGATTTCAGCTGTCTCCCTCTTTGTCTCTGTCTCACTCAAATATTGCAGTCAGACAGAGGCAACTAGCTCCCCCTGCCCTTTGTCTGGACAGGGATGGTGGCGGCAGCAAGTATTATTCAACCATCTCCTCACCTTCCTGAGCCATTTACTTACAGTTTTCCTAACAGAAGATGTGCCTTGCAACTTTTCCACACGCCATTAAAGAACATGTGGAGACTTTTTGGGTTGCATTTACCCTCTCCCAATCTTACAACAGTTTCACACAGTTTTCAACATCTGTGATACATTGTGAAGGAGATGGGTAAGATTGCGGTTCTGGATTTATGTCCTTTCCCCATGTGACCATATTATAGTTGAAATTAAAGGCCTGTGATGTTCTGACTTCCTTCTGATCTAAAGCCAAGCATTTCCAGTCTCGCTTATTGAAAGAAAGGATGGGAGGCTGGAAGCTTCCGCCAAGCGCATGAAATGGTGTTATAATCAGCACTTACTTAAGTCGGAGACTCTGCTGGATAAATCAGACTTCCCTGTGACTTCCAGACACACCATTTTCCTGGCAAGGAGATGTCAAAGTTCTGGCTGAGAAACTGAGATGTTTTCTGCAAAACCGCTGAATCTAGAAGTTTCTGCCAGTGGGATTAATAACACTCTTAGGAAAAATGCTTTTCGAAAGCCTTGCACCGGCCTTTAAGTTACAGATGGTTTGGTCAACATGGGATGTCCTTGCCCTGCAGTCTGCCTTACTCTGGAAATGGTGGTAAAGGAGCAGTTAGGAGTTGTTAGGAGACCCCGTTCCCCTCACACAGCTACAATTCCCAGAGTAGCTTAACCGGCAAACCCTCTTCCCAGGGGACTCTGGGAATTGTCGGCCTTTGAGGGGAATGGGGCTCTCCTCCTAACAACCTTCTTAACAAGCCACAGTTCCCAGGATTCTTTGGGGGAAGCTGTAGCTATTTAAAGCAGCACAATACTGTTTTTAATGGTTAGTGCAGATGTTGTGGACTATGTTGCCTATCAGCCCCAGATAGCACAGCCAATGGCGACTGGGGTTGATGGGAGTTGTAGTCCAAAACAACTGGGGAGAACCAGGTTGGCAAAGGCAGATGAATCTGATACAAGGCACCTTCCTACATCCTTGCTGCCCATCAGTTACCTGAAGCAGCCGTGTCTCCCGTTGTCCATGCTCTGAACCTGTTGCCCCAAATCTTTTGTATCTTCTTCAGTTGTCTCCTTTCATGACGTTTGGAACCGCAGCTCCTGCCAGCCCTTGGAGAAGCTCGTTGATGTGGTATCCGAGTACCCCAGTGAAGTAGAGCATGTGTTCAGCCCTTCCTGCGTCTTCTTGCAGCGCTGCAGCGGGTGCTGCGGAGACGAGAGGCTCCAGTGCGTCCCGACGGAGGTAGCCAACGTCACCATGCAGGTGAAGAGGTTGGGCTTTGTGGTGCTTGGTTCCCAGCTGTCTCTCCATGCAATTGTTAGGAATATAGAAAGCGGCCTTATACCAAGTCAGGCCATTGGCCCATCTACCTCATTATTGTCTACACCAGGGGTTGTCAACCTGGTCCCTACCGCCCACTAGTGGACGTTTCAGGATTCTGAGTGGGCGGTAGGGGGTTCTACGGCACAAGCTGAATCCTCCTTCCATCGAGCACTGGTGGGCGGTAATGCAAGAAAGATGCGTTAGTGGGTGGTAGGTATAAAAAGGTTGACTACCCTGGTCTATACCAATGTTTCCCAAACTTGGGTCTCCACCTGTTTTTGGACTGCAACTCCCATCATCCCTAGCTAGCAGGACCAGTGGTCAACGATGGTAGGAATTGTAGCCCCAAAACAGCTAGATACCCAAGTTTGAGAAACACTGGTCTACTTTGACTGGCAGCAGCTCCCCAGGATTTCAGACAGGGCGCTGTCCCATTTCTACCTGGACATGCTGGGGATTGAACCTGGGACCTTCTGCATTAAAAGCTGGTGCTTTTACCCCTGAGCTACAGCCCTTCCCCGTAGTGGTCAGCACTTCTTTGCTTCACATCTTCTGTGAACAGCTGGGAAACTGAAGCTCAATGGATTCCTGTGATTCCTAGCAACTGGTATTCGGAGACACGATGCTTCTGACAGTGAAGGTAGAACATAGCCATCATAGTTGGTAGTCATCAATAGCCCCTCTCCTCCATGGATTTGTCCAATTCTCTTTTAAAACCATCCAAGATGGCGGCCCATCACTGCTTCCTGTGGCAGCGAGTTCCGTAGTTTAACTATATGCTGTGTGAAGAAGTACTTTCTTTGGTCTGCCCTGAATCTTCCAACATTTCTCTTTGTTGGGTGTCCACATCTTCCAGTGGACATCCTTTCTCTATGCACATTCTCCATGCTAGGCATAATTATATAAATTTCTGTCATTCTGCCTCTTACTTGCCCATTCTCTTAAGTCCCAAATGCTCTGAGAGTTACATAGATTTCACCCTTACAGCTCCTGAAGGTGAATTCAGAAGAACAAGCGCCCTATGTGGAGCTGTCCTTTGTGGAGCATAGGAAATGTGTATGCAGGTATGTGTCTTCATGATGGCATTTTTCTGTTTTAAAAAATTACATTTATATACCACCTTTTCTTTTAAGGAGCTCAAAGTGGTGTACATGGTTCTCCTCCTCCCCATTTCACCTTCACAACAGCCCTGTGAGGTAGGTTAGGCTAAGAGATGGTGACTGGCCCAAGGTCACCCCATGAGCTTCTTGGCTGAGCGGGGATTTGAACCCTGATCTCCCAGGTCCTGGTCCAATACTCTAACCATTACGCCACACTGGCTGTCCTGGGTATCCAGTACCTCACAGGAGTCAAGTAATCCCTGGAAGGAGAGGGAACGATGTGGGGTAGGGAGACCCCTTATTGAAATCCACAAGCCCCTCTATTTGACTCCCTCTAATTTTAGCCTTCAAAAAACAGCAGCCAAGGGAGCCAGCAGAAATATTTTTAAAAAGGTGAGGGGGCTTGGACTGGTGGTGCCTTAGGCAGCCTGTTAATGTAACCTGAGCCTAACTGGGGCAGGTGTTCTCAGTTCTTGTCATGGTGAGCCACAATGGGATGTATTTGGGCCGGTGGGGGGAGTGCAAGGGAACTGTATTATTTGCAGTTAAGTGCACTACACCTCCTCCCAGCCTCAAAATGAAGAAGCAGGACAGTCGCTTTCAGCATGTTCCTTGACACCTCAGGCTTGGAGCGTTCCTTCTGCACATTTAGATCAAATTCCAGCTTTCCCCCAGGGGTTAGATTGTTGACACCCAGCCCTCCTCAGCAGGAAGCAGTTGTTCTTCCACCATTTGCTCTGCTCCAGGAACTCCACGCACAATTCTCACTCTGATTGACTACAATTTTTTTGGATTTGTTGGCTACATAAAGGCAAGGCTTACTGGAGTAATTGAATCTCCTCAAGTCTGCTGTGCCTTAAGCTGACCAGACTAAAGGCATGGCTGTCCTAGCCAGCACACAATTGGGGGGGGGGGATCCTGACAATCCGTATGCTATCTGTGTTAAAAAGCATAGTAATGAAATGTTGTTCCCAACAATTCACAGTCTGTGTCAGAAAAAGCTGGATCCTGTGGTCAGTGCCATTGTGTATCATTGCTCATACTTTTTTTTCACAATTCTGCAGTGTTCGCATTTTGCACAATTTAATTATGGTTTTCCTTGTCACTGGGAGGAGCAGGAACAGTCGAGGTCACCCCCAATCATGAAGAATTCAGCAGACGTTGGTCATATTCTTTCAACCATATCTTCACAGTCATAAGGACTAGAAACTTAAAAAAAAAATACAGAAAGGAAGCTAAAATTCTTATGAAGCCAAGTTCAACATTCAGTGTCATATTCTACATGCTTTCTAGACACCAGTGAAATTGCAGCAGATACACAGCCCTGGGGGTGCCCTACACGCCTGATGCTTAATGAGCCAGCAAGCCAACCAAGTGACAAAATGTGACAGAAGTAGCAGCTGTTCCAACTCAGCTGTCCATTTGGGGCCTTTACCAAAAGGAACAAAGAAACAGCCCCTGTTGCTTGCAGCATGAACACACACAGCATCATACAACCCTTCACTTCCAGCTAGCGTCCTTGCTCTCATAAGCAGAGACAAAACAAAAACTACCTTTCAAAGATAATTATTCCTTAACTTAATCAGTGTATTGCCTCTGAATACACTGGCCTCTGAAATGCCCAAAATAGGTGGTCTCAGACTGGCAATGTGGGGGAGGGGCTGATGTGCAGTGATGCTGAGAGCATTCCTAACTCCTCTTAGCCTCGGCTAATCCCGTTGGTGTACAACATGTGCTGTAAGGGAGGGTGCATTTTTGCCTGCAATGCCTGCTTCCTGAAGGGATCTCTGTAGAGAGACTAAAAGCCACTTGATGCTCTCCTTTATTTCTACCTACCATTCTCCCCCACAACATCCAATAACATATTTGAAATTCTGTCCCAACAGACCTTTTCAGTGGTTGCAACTGAATAATGTTGCTTATGAGACTGTTAACGGAATCTCACCTGCGTTTGGTGGTCTAAGAAGGGAGACTGGGCCTTGTGTGTGCAAAAGCCTAGGGCCTGGTTCAGTGATAGACAGTGGGGTGTGTTTGTGTGTGAGGTGGGGTTGGGATCTTTGGCCACTATGAACCATGCCAGGTAGCAGAACATGAGTCTAGAAGCTCTGAATGACTCTGTTCCTTATAAAGAGGAAATCATCACAATTAGGGGGCAAGCCCATCTGTGTGTTTTTTTGCTATTCCCATTACATTGGATCTCTTAATATCTATGAATGTTGCAGCACCATACTCTGAACGTGACAGTCTAACTCTCTTCTCCCTAGGCCTCGGCGAGATGCTGTGAAGTCAGGGAGGTAAGTAGAATTAGCAAGGTTTCTGGACATTGGTTACTCTCCATAGTGGAGAGGGGTTGGGGCGACCCAGTCAGATGGGCGGGGTATAAAAAATAAAGTTATTATTATTGGTGTCTGTGGCGTTTGCCCCCTAGGATGTGTCAATGAAAGGGTTAAAATGGGTGTGATGTGATTGGTCAGTGAGAATGCAAGGGGGGAGTAAAAGATAGAGTGAGAGGTTTTGAAAAGACAGTTGAGGTCTGGGAGTTGGGAGTTGAGGGTTGTCAGTTGGGAGTTGAGGCTTGGGTGTTGGAGAAGGAAGAGGGTGGAATAGGCAGTGGGTTGGTCGAGTTGTATTGTGAGAGAGTGAGAGGAATTGTTAGGAAGTTAGATAGATAGTTGAGAATAATTCAGTTTGAAGTTGTAGGAACTAAGATTTAAGAAACTGACAAGAGAAAAATAAACTGAAACCATACGCTTATTCCTGCACTTAAAAATAAACTTGATTATTTGTTTATGTTAACAACTGTCTGGACTCTGTGTGTCCCCGTGAGAAGCGGGGTGGTGGCAGCAAAAAAAACAACCGAGTGGTGGCACAGGGTCAATAGACCGTCAAACGTCCAGGGGCCCTGTGTGATCGCCACAGTGTCTCATTCCCCACCTTCTCTTCTGTTTCCTTCCTTCTTCCCTCCTGAAGGAGGAGGAGACCCAAGGGACGCAGCAAGAGGAAGAGGGCAAAGCAGAGACCCAAAGATTGATCCTCTAGGTGAGTGTCAATACCAGGCAATGAGGGGGAAGAATAATTCTTCAAGTTATGGTTTAGCTGTAGATGTTTTCTCCCAGAAGTGCCTGCTTTTACTGGCATGGATAACGCGAAGTTAGATTAGTAAACACAATTAAAACATTAAAATAATAAATAGACACCATCAATAAACTAAAAACATACCAGTATTCTAAATATCTGTACAGATATATATATATATAGAGAGAGAGAGAGAGTTTTCACTGCATGTTTGCCAGTGTAATAATCTTTTCCCTGGCTGTGGGTTGTTTTGGTGATGGCACCCTCAGGTTCTAGGGCCACAGAAGAGCGACCTATATTGTTCCTACTATCATAAATGTTTCTGAGGTGCATTTTTCATTTTATATACCATCTTTTCCTTCAAGGAGCTGCACATGGTTCTCCAGCTCCTCATTTCATCTTCACAACAACCCTGTGAGGCAGGTTAGGCTGAGAGACAGTGACTGGCCCAAGGTCCCCCAGTGAGCTTCAGTGCTCAGTGGGAATTCAGTCTTCCAGGTCATAGTCCCAACACTCTTCACCCTTAACACCACACTGACTCTTTTTTTCTTTACCGGCAAACCGATTGACGGAGCTATTTCACTCATTGTTGGAAGCAGACTTTGGATGTGTGAGCATACTGTTGGAACCAAACACTAATCTGGGTGATTTCACATGACAAGTTATTAGAACTTGAAGCTGCACATGCACACAGGTTTTGCACAGTGTCCACACAATGTTGTCCTCTTCAAAATTCTGTCCTGTATTATTTTCCCATTTCATATGGATTTACAGTTTCTGCAGAAAATCTGATAAAAAATATATATTGCAGAATGCATAAATCCAGATTAAAAGGGGATGGGTGGGACGGCATTTTTAAGGGTGGACACTGCAAAAACCTTATATGCATGAGCAGCACTGAGTCTGTGGTAAACCGCCATCTTGAAACACCCCATAACCCAAAATGAAAAGTCCCTGATCTAGCTAAAGATAAATTGCACTTAAATCCCATTGAAATCAACAAAGTTTAATTTGCACCCTTGATTTCAATAGGACTTGAGTAGCCTCCAACCCACCACCTTCAACCAAATCTGCAGCAATGAGGGCGGTTGAGGATGCATTTCTATGGGCTTTGCAGTGATAGGCCCCTCAAGATTCCCCTGACCCAAAGATTTTCCTCCTTGCCAACCTCACCAATTGGTCAGGGGAGAAGAAAAATTTTAATTCGTGACTAAAACTTTCGCTGACAGATTACATTCAATCATCCATTAAAGGTTGCACCCCTAATTAAAATGCATTTAACTTGCTGTGTTTCTTCTTAAAGCTCACCATAAAAACCTTCCCATTTAAGGACTTGAGATCAAAAATAGCAAATACCAAGGCCTTGAATAGCTGGTTTGCCTTTTGTTATCCAGAAAGTAAACTTTAACCTTTCAGGAGGAAAAAGTGAAACTATTGTTTATTTGAGCAGATTGGAGCCCTTATCTCCAGGGAAAGGGAGGATTTAAGGAGATAAGTGGGGCAAGTTTTCCATTGTGCCTTGTAGATGAGAGCACAGTGTTTCTGTGGATTGTAGCTGAGGGTGCAACTTTGCCTTTTTCAGCTTTGAAACTCCTGTTTCTAAAAATCTGTATCCTTTTAGACTCCTCCCATCTTTCTTGCCTAAAAAGAAAAAGAAATGCTTTACAGAAAACTAATGCCTAATAAAAACAGCACTTAACCGTTAAATGCCTTAGGGTTTCTCTAACTAAGCCATTCTCAAGAGTACACCCATTGAAATCAGTGGACTAAAATTAGTCACATCCATTGGTTTTAGTAAGTTTACTCTTAATTTGACTTAGCTGGATACAACCCTTAGTCTGGATGGAGAAACTAAGGTATATTTGGTGGCAATATTTTTGTTTGCTTAAGTGCAGGTTTAAGGCATAAGGGCCAGGAACCTAAGATCAACTTTAGATGTGCTCTGGGCAGTGGGGTAGGGAAGAGGGAAATTAGATGCTGAGAACTGAAACCAGACAGAGAAATAAATAACCCTGTGCTGTGGAAAGGGAAGTGAGATAATTCCTTATATTACTGGGGAAGGATTTGCAGTGATAACATTTATGCATATTTACTCATAAGTAAGAGACATGGGTGGTGCTGTGGGTTAAACCACAGAGCCTAGGAGTTGCTGATTAGGTCGGCAGTTCGAATCCCTGCAATGGGGTGAGCTCCCGTTGCTCGGTCCCTGCTCCTGCCAACCTAGCAGTTCAAAAGCAGGTCAAAGTGCAAGTAGATAAATAGGTACCACTCCAGCAGGAAGGTAAACGGCATTTCCATGTGCTGCCCTGGTTCACCAGAAGCGGCTTAGTCATGCTGGCCACATGACCCGGAAGCTGTACGCTGGTTCCCTCGGCCAATAAAGCGAGATGAGCGCTGCAACCCCAGAGTCGGTCACGACTGGACCTAATGGTCAGGGGTCCCTTTACCTTTACCTTTATGCCTCACCTTCCTTCCCAACTGGATTGTGGTAAGAATTCACTTCTGCACCACCTTATTTGTTACACAGGTGAAGGTCGCATCTACACTATGCCTTTAAAGCACATATAAAGGTTATGGCTCACCCCTATATATATATATATAAATGGTAGTTTTTAAGGGTTCTAGGAATTGTAACTCTGTGGGGTATAACCTACAGCTCCCAGGATTTGGGGTGGTAGGAGACCCAGGACTGTTAAAGCAGTATAAATGTGCTTTAACTGTTTAGTGTGGATGCAACCTAGGCTTCTGCCATGTGAGTTTACTTAGCTTTGTTTTTTATCTGCTCCTATTTTCTGTATTGGGATGCGGGTGGCGCTGTGGGTAAAACCTCAGCGCCTAGGACTTGCCGATCACATGGTCGGCGGTTCGAATCCCCGCGGCGGGGTGCGCTCCCGTCGTTAGGTCCCAACGCCTGCCAACCTAGCAGTTCGAAAGCACCTCCGGGTGCAAGTAGATAAATAGGGACCACTTACCAGCAGGAAGGTAAACGGCGTTCCGTGTGCTGCGCTGGCTCGCCAGATGCAGCTTGTCACGCTGGCCACGTGACCCAGAAGTGTCTGCGGACAGCGCTGGCTCCCGGCCTATAGAGTGAGATGAGCGCACAACCCTAGAGTCTGGCAAGACTGGCCTGTACGGGCAGGGGTACCTTTACCTTTTTATTTTCTGTATTGTCCTAAACTGTTTTAATTGCAGTTTGTACATCGCCTTGAGGTGTGTGAGGAAGGAGATTAATTCATTAATAATTGCTATTAATTATCTGCATCGTTCTGAACTGTTTTTAAAATAAAGCATGGGAGTTTGTGTTAGAAGTTTTAAAATCTCATTGCACGTGACCCTTATGCCTTAATCCTGCACATTTTTTCAAAAATAAAATCTCTTTTCTCTGACATGCATGCTCTCACACACAGAGATTTTCCAAAGATCTCCATTTCCAGAGAAGGTTGTCATGTGGGGCTGTTACTCAAGAAACACAAGCTGAAAGCCCCCGAGCAGCCAAGACCAGGACAACTAAAACAGTTGGCATTCTCTTTGTGGCATCTAGTCAGATTTTTAAGAGGTTCCTCAGGAGACATGCTTAATCCCACGTAATGTGTGGCCTGTTCTGGGAACTTGGAAGCTGGATTCTAGTGAGAAATGTGATTATTACATGAAAGAACTTGGGTGTGGGCTTAGCCACCCGGGAGGCTGTTGGTGTTGCCAAGCCCAATGTGATCATCGTCTTCAGTGGGGATATTATAACCATCAAAACAGAGAGTGGTTTAAAGAACACGCAGTTTTCCTTCTAAGAGTTTGATAAGACCACAGCAGATGGCAGAGTGTATTGTGACATTAGACAATGACTCATATAGGCCCCATCAAAGTGGCTTTCAACCTATGTGCAGATCTCTTTGGGACACAGACATCACAGGCCAGAATGCACCCTCAGGCCATACCTGGACTGTACATTTAAAACACTTTAAACAGCCCTGGTTTTCCCCAAAGAATCCTGGGAGTTGTAGTTAAGGGTGCTAAGAGCTGTTAGGCGGCTCCTTTTCCCCTCACAGACCTACAATTCTCAGAGTTGCCTGGGAAGAGGGATTGATTGTTAATCCTTGAACTCCTGGAAGGAAAAGCAAGATATAGATATACAACAAGGAACAAATATGTCAGAGTCACAAGTCTCAGCAAAACACATTTTGCCAGCCTCGATAAAATATTATGTCAAAAGTACAGTAAATAGGAATATTATCTTGCAGCAGTTACAAGGTGTTTGATTATTTCATGGTTGTATTTGCAGATTCATTTTTCATTTCTTATTTTTGTTTTATAGTTGCTGTTTATTACTAAATAACAGCCCAGTGATGACAACAGATCAGTAGGGGTTACATGGGGGACATGGCAATTCAGAGGAGTTACTTGCAAGCCAAACACACCAAGCCCAGTCAGTTGTGTTTTACTTTGTAAAGGCAGCACACTTGGGGAGTGAATGAAATACTGTGGCTACAAGGACGGTACTTAAGCAAACATACCCCAGTGTTCTGCACCATTCATGAGCTCTTGTGCTCATGTTATCCCTGGTTTCCCACAGGCATCTGGTTGCCCACTGTGAGAACAATATGCTGGTCTAGTTGGGTCATTGGCCTAATCCAGCAGGTCATTCATATGTATTCAGCTTCTCCTGCTTTATCTGCTGCTCTGGGAGGGGTCCCTCCTGAGTCCCAGATGGGAGTGGTCAACAGTTCTTCCTCTGATTGCTTAGCAACAGTGATCAATTGATCAAGCACCTTTAGCAACGGTAGCACCTGCCAAGTGCCAAAGCATTAGAGCTGCCTCCAAGTTTTGTGCTCTAACTTTCTTCAGAAATGTCTGATTGACTTATTTTTTAGAAGCTAAGAGTCTGGGAGCACTGCTTGTATGGGATCTGATACATCTGTGCCCCCTGTACAGTGCAGTTAATATGACCCTGAAGCAGAGGATGAAGCAGCGGATTGGAGCCCCACAAAGTGATTGCTTTTCTCAAAACACTGAGCTGTTGACAAACTAACTCCAAAGCAGCCTTGCAGCCAATCTGAAGTCTTGTGGTTATTCAGCAGAGTGGTCACCTTGAGAGAGAAGCTATTTAAAACCAAACAACTCAAAACTGAGCAATTCCTCTATTTGGTGGTCCATGGGTAGCCTTAAGCCTTTTTCACAGCACTGTAAACTAAGCAGCTATTGTTAGACATGATACGTTTTACTATGCAATGCTTTTTAGGTGTGGCAGCAGTAGTGGATTTCTAATGTTTATGAATTGTCAGAGAGACAGTTGAACTAAGGCCACAGTTGGATGCATACTTACTTGAATAATATGGTTCTTTCTTCTGAATAAACATAGATGGGCTGGGCTGCAATGCATTCAGTGAAAAGTGTGTCACATCCTAGAAACAAAACCAAGCTGAGTATCCAAAAGTCCTTTGTCATACATGTATAAATGTTCTTTTTATGGGATATTTGGATTTTAAGGTCGTTAAATACATTTGACAGCATGGCCTTGTTAGATTCCTAATTTGCTGAAAATTACTGCATCCACTTTCCATGCCTGTTAACACAAGACCCAGCCACCTTCTTGGTGTTCATCCTGTCCCTTGCTCTCTTTCCAGGTGGGACTTCTGATGAAGGTGGCTGCTTTGTTAGCAGATGGCAGCGCCACAGTGCCTGTATTTATTACTCTGTCCTCTTCAACACTCCCCTACACACAAGCCCATCGCATTTCTGACTGATGAATTCTGGAGGGGCCCGTAGCAGTTCAACCACTTTCAAACCATCCTGAGCAAACCAGGAAGAACCAAGGAAACATCACAGCGGGAGCAGATCAAGCCAACGTGAACAGGAGATGCTAACTGCATACAAGGAGGTTGACTGGGGGCCAGGTGAAGAGAAGAAGCCACACGTTTGTCTAGGTTCTTTCCCTGCCTTCATATATAGCTAATATTTCACACTGACATCCACAGAATTGGAATCAGAATGGAAGTACAAGAAAAGAGCAGTTGGACTAACTGGCAGGTACAGTATTATGCAGCATGAACTTAGAACAAACTGGCCACAAACAGAAGCAGGTGTTTCCTGTTGAATTGTCTGGATGCTACAGTCTGGCTGAGCAGTGAGGTGGCAAAACGAAACAAGTGGTTTGAGCAGTGTCATCAGCCCTTGGCTAAGTCTTTTTGCTTTCCACCAATTCCGTTGCATTGAAAACGCTCTCTTTATCTTGCCAAGGATTCGTGTATCAGAAGAAACTATGCTTTGTCAGCCCGATACATCTAAAATACCTTCTTCCTTGATGAACTAAAGCTGGAAGAGTACTTTGTCAGGTAGCATCTTGGAAGCTGTGGGAAGAATAATTGTGTTCTGAGGCAGCAGATCCTATTCTGAAGAAACCTCCAGCACGTTACTCACAAAGGCGAGGAGCCAAGGGAATCATGAGATTGGAGAGACAGCCTATGCAGAGCTCAAGTTGCTGTGGGTTTAGTGCGCAAATATCATATTTTACTGCATAAGTAATTGGTTTATCGAAAAACTAGTGCTGGAAAATACACAATAGAGAGAGTATCCCCCAAATCTAAAGGTTCATGTATCTGTAAAGCGCACATAGTCACTTTTCCCAACAAAATTGTAGCAGAACCCTGTGCTTGGCAAATCTGTCTTGTGCTGCTGTGTATCATTTGCATCCGTATTGTAACATAATTAACTACGCAGCGTTTTGTTGATATAGCTGGTTTTGTGGTGGTTGGAAAAGACAGCCACAAGGTATGGGAGTGGATGGTGCCACTCCATCTCTATCCTGCTACCCACCCTCTCTCTGCTAAATTGTGTCGCATCTAACAGCTGGCTATGTCATCTCAATGCCAATGGCACCTTTGGGAATGGGGGCTGTTGCCGGTTTATTAGCACTATCGTATCTCATTGCACAAAGTCAGTTTGCAGTCAGTCCTATTGGAAAGGGTTGCAAAATGTAAGTAACTGTAGCTTGGCTGCATAACAATAGCCAAACTCTGAATGAATAATTGTGAAGCAATAGGAATTCTAAATGAGCTCTCACTGTTTGAAGAAATATTGGTGTCGTGTCGTTTTAGGGTGCATAATGTTGCCCATCTATAAACCAGTTACATGCTACAGTACGGCTGAGTATGTTACAGATCAGTATTGGATTGTAAAAGTGATGGCTAAGCAATGAGGTGGTGCATGACAAATTAGTTTGAAGAACCACATAAGAGAGTGCCTTATTTATCCTTTTGCAGAAGAAGTAGAATATGAATTGACCACTTGTCGTTTCAAATATGGATAACGATGCATTTTGACATGCAGCACATCTGGTCTCCAGAATGCCATGGGACGTGACATATAGATGTTCAAAGTGATCTAGACAAAACTGTGCGAAATACCAGTAGCTGTTAATCAGGATAGGACATGCACCCTCATGCAGTGATTGTGCAAGAATCTGCAATTGCTAGAGGTTCATAGGGAAAACAAGAAATGAAATATTCCCCAACGTTATCAGCATTTGTAAATTCTCACAATATCCAATACAGGCTTCTGCTGGATACAGGACTAGAAGGACCATTTATATGACACAATGGATTTGCTGTTTCTTGTATATGACAACCTGATTGCAATATGGTCTTGATCTTTATCCTGTGGTAGAGCCTATTTTTTATGGGGTGTGGTGGGACTTAAGATTCCTGCTTTCTGTTCAGTGCAATGAAGCAACATTCCAAATGAATTCTAAATATAATACTGTTATGGTTAAAACACAGCTCCAGATTCTGAAAATATTTTTGTCAGCTCATTCCATTATCTCTTCTGGGGGGAAAAACACTCTCCCAAGAAACACTGTCTGCCTTCTGAGGATGTGTGAGGCATTAACTTCCATTGCGATTCATCATTATTGCTGAATCCCTTACCATTGGGTGGGAAAGCGTGAGCCAACACGCTGGGCTGTCAAATGAGAGTTTGGAAGAATGAAGTGCTTTGCTCTGTCACATTTCTTTTGGGGCAAGTAATTGTTTCTCATCTGCAAAATGGATATAATTGACTACTAGGCTTTCTATACAACAGAAAAGACGTGAAAATTACAACAGAACTGTTGGAATGTTAGCCTATTGTGGCAAGAGGAACCAGATAATTATACTGATATGGTAGCTGAAAGACTCTGTTTAAACACAGTTCTTGTCTGCTTTCCTTTAGTATCTTTTTCTTCCAAGACTGCAGACTGGTTATCCAAGAAGTATTTAACTGGAATGCAGTACACCCAAACATATTTTTGCAAGTGCTCACTAGATGGCTCCAAGCTTGAAAGCAGCCCCTTCATCTATGCTGGGCTTTATAGAGGATATAATGATTAGGATTATGGCAACCAAGGATCTATGACAATGTCCTCTTTTTTTAGCCAGTTGGCATCTTTTCCCCATCTGGATGAGTGTTCTTGTTTTAAACCATTTACTCAGACATACTGAACTTTCCTCTGCTTAACAATTGCAGCTCTGGATAATATTTCAGTGCCCCACATTAGTGCAGCCAGATAATATCAGCAAGGTCACTTCCATGAGCTTGTCTAAACCCCTTTGAAAGCCATCCAGCTTGGTGGTATTCGCTACATCTTGCAGTGAATTCCACATTTTAACCATGTGTTGTATGATGTACTTTTGTCTGCCCCGAATCTTACATTTTTCAGCTTTCTTGGGCTCTAGTACTTTGAAAGCAGGAAAAACACACCTGTCTGTCCACTTTCTCCACATCACACACACCCCCACCCCAAAAATCCTAATAAAAAAGTGGGGAGAGGTTCCTGCGCTGGTGGGTTTCCTACACACACCTGGCAGGCCATTATGAGAACAGAATGCTGGAATGTATTGACCAGGGGTAGGCAACCTAAGGCCGGATCCAGCCCAATAGCCCTCTCAATCCGACCCACGGACGGACAGGGAATCTGTGTTTTTACATGAGTAGAATGTGTCCTTTTATTTAAAATGCATCTTTGGGTTATTTGTGGGGCATAGGAATTCATTCCCTCCCCCCCCCCAAATATAGTCAGTCCACTACATGGTCTGAGGGATGGTGGACTGCCCCACGGCTGAAAAAGGTTGCTGACCCATGGTATTGCCCATTGCCCAGGACCCAGCAGGCACCTTCTTGTGCTCTTCAAAGCACAGACAAAAACATGGGTCATGTGAAATAATGATAAAAGAATAAACGCTTTTGACTAGGTGCATTGCCTTTCTAGTAGCTCAGTTCCACACGGAGAGGTTTAGCAGAAATATGGCTTCTGCCACCAGCCCACAAATACACTAGTCCTTTCCCAGCAGTCATTTGGATAGCATGGCAAGCTTACGAGAACCGAGGTAGTTACCACGGAGTAAAACCATAACACCGACTCTGAAAACAGGACGGAATTTATTGACATAGTCCTTCGACCCTATCGAAAACCAGGAGGACAAAGTGAAATGAGATCGAAAGTGAATACATGTATACAATCACGTACGTACTTCTTTAGGGGAAATGGCAGCCCAAGGAATATTTCTAATTTCATTTCCAACAGTTTTAATTTCATTTCCCCACCCCACCCCCGGAGACAGACTCTTCCCCCGCCCCTCGCTTTGGACTCCGCAGCCCGGCTCTGCAGACTTCGACGCGGGCTCTTTAAGAGGCAGCTCTCGAGCCAGCTGCCCGGCGATTGGTGCTTTATTCTAAAGGCCGGCTAGTGAGCTCATCCGCAGCCAATCGTCGCAACCGCGGACCACCCACACAGCCCCCGCAAGTTGCATCCTCCGACACCTGGCTCTTCCACCGGCGAGCCGGATCCCCGAGCCGAGATGGGGGGAGGAGGAGGAGGCGCCGCCGCTGCCGCCGGGGATTCCGTGCCTCGCCCTCCGCTCCGACCAGCATCTCAGGCACCACGACTCCTTTAGGTACGGGATGCCCCTTCCCCGCAGGCACCTGTGCCCTGCCCACGTCACACACACACACACACACCCCGGGGAAAGATGCGGGCAGGTTGTTGCAGCGCGTTCTTAGCCGATAAGGGGGAGCCGAGGGGGGGGGGTTTAGGCCAGGTTCGCCCCCCCCTCCAGCTTATCTTTTGCACCACCTGCTTCCTTAAGCGTCGGGGGGGGCAGCTGCACCCCCCCTCCAGATCGAGTAAAACAATAGAAATACTTAACTGTCCAATCACGTCGGTTCTGGCCCCCTCTAACAAAAGTCCTGCCCCCCCCCATAAAAACCCTGGCTACAACCATGGCGCGCGGGGGGGTGTTTGCAAGTGCGGCCATCTCCCTAGTGAGGCCTCCCCCCCCCCCCCCTTCTAAGGCCGGCAGCGGATGCCCGCACACAATGGCCCTCTCTTGGCAACACAGCGCCTTGCTTCAAGGCTTCTCGGATTCCTGCACCGACCCTTCTCCTGCCCATCTCCAAGTTGAGGCTGTGCCAGCACTGGTAGTTTTCTTAGCGCCGGAGGGAGAATGAGGAGCGTCCATTCGTCCGAGTCTGTGCAGCTCCTGCGGGGCCTGTGGCTCCGCCTGGCCTAAGCGTCCAAAGGCCCCGAGGCTAACCATGCAGCCGGTGGCATACCGTTAGCACCCGCCGTTTTGTTTCCGGTCTGCTTGCCTTCGAGAGGAACAAGAGCTTAGAAACAAACAAACAGCCTCTTGGGTTTCGCTTGCAGAAAAACGGTGGAGGCAGAAACCTATTGTGAACCTTAATCCCACCTATCTATCTATTCCCTGGTCTGGGCAAAAGCAGGGTTGTAGCCTTAGGTTGGTTGATGTGGTCTGAATAATCGATTAAAACTGTTAGATTCCTTTTTTTAAAAAAAAGTTAATTGTTTTTAGTGCTATGTACTTACGGAAACAACAGGTGGTTGGCACAATTTCAGAAGAGGCTTTCTCCTGTTACAGGAGGAGGGGAAAGCCTCTTCTAAGAGGGCGCTTGCTGCAACATGAGCATGTGCCTTTTATTCAATTCCATGGCTTTATTTGCAATTATTATTTACTGAATTTATATACCACCCTATACCCAGAGGTCTCAGGGCGGTTCACAAAAAAAGATCACAATATATTAAATCAAAATAAAAACAATAACCCAATAATACCCCCCCCAAAAAAAGAGCCACATTTTAAAAGTGTATAGGATGTTGATCAGGTCAACCAAAGGCCTGTTTAAAAAGGATTAGGTAAAGGTAAATGGACCCCTGACCATTAGGTCCAGTTGTGACCGACCAAAGGCCTGTTTAAAAAGGATTAGGTAAAGGTAAATGGACCCCTGACCATTAGGTCCAGTTGTGACCGACTCTGGGGTTGTGGTGCTCATCTCGCTTTATTGGCCGAGGGAGCCGGCGTACAGCTTCCGGGTCATGTGGCCAGCAGGACTAAGCCGCTTCTGGCAAACCAGAGCAGCGCACGGAAACGCCGTTTACCTTCCTGCCGGAGCGATACCTATTTATCTACTTACACTTTGACGTGCTTTCGAACTGCTAGGTTGGCAGGAGCAGGGACCGAGCAATGGGAGCTCACCCCGTTGCAGGGATTCGAACTGCCGACCTTTTGATCGGCAAGTCCTAGGCTCTCTGGTTTAACCCACAGCGCCACCCGCATCCCTCTTAAAAAGGATTAAGCAAGTGTTTAATCCTTGCCAAAATACTTAAAACTCTCATACTTAGGCAACTCTCATTAGGTGACAGCCCTCCTGCAGAGACTGTATCACTTGCAAACTCTTTCCACTCTTTTGAGTGCTGGCACTTTCTAGCTCTGATTTGTAGCCCTTTGCACCCACCCCCACCCCCAGTCTTCTCCCTAACCTGCTAATTCACCCTTCGTTTTTCTCTCCCTCTAATTCTGCCTTTGTCTCAAGCATTACAGGAAGTAGGCTGGTGAGGATTCATTGAGAATGGCCAGTTTTTAAGCAGCGTGACCCCCTGAGCAACGGTTTGGGCATGGATTCCGAATCCTGCACTCGAGCCTTCTCCCAGGCCCGAGTATATCTTGAGCAAATCCGAAGCCGGGTTGCGCCAGGGGGCGTTGACGCGCACGGAACTGGGAAGCGTGACTACCTGGTGGATGCGGCTAAGCAGATCCGCCTGGCTTTGGAACGGGATGTGAGCGAGGACTACGAAGAAGCTTTCAACCATTACAAGAATGGCGTGGATGTGCTGCTCAACGGGGTTCAGGGTACGGTGGGGAAGTGGAGTGGGTGGTTGTGAAAGATGTAGGGATCGTGGCAGAAGTGGATTTAGGGGAGGGCAACCAGTTCATTTGTACTGGGTGTGGAGCCTCAATGATGCTGCATTGGGCACCGCAAGCATGATGTAGAATGGAAGGCCAGAGGTGGTGGTTATGGGGCAAGATTAGACACCACACAGTGTGCTGCTGGAATTTGAGACTGTAAGGTCCACCACTGGACCCTGGGATAGGTGGAGCATAGAAGCATGAAAGGTGCATGGCTAACTTATGAATGCTCTTTATAGGCTCTTGCCCACCCGGCTGACTAGATGAGGAAAAAATATTGCAAAATATATGTGAAATCATACAAATTATGTGAATATATATATATAGAGAGAGAGAGAGAGAGCAATTTAAAATTTACAGATAAACGTCATCTTTACATAAACGTAGTCTATTTATTCTTCTATACATGTTCATATCTTCTACATAATTGACTTCTCTCTACCTCTTAACAGCTTCATCATCTCTCTTTATTTCATTTTCTTTTGTACTGTGTTCTAATATACTTTCAACATTCTATTTATATAGAATATCTCCTCTAATTGTCTTTTATTTTGTGAAATTTATTCCAGGCACATCCAAGTTTTGATTTGGGAGCCATGTTTACACAAATAATTTTTAAAGCAATCCCATTCTTTTTTTAACCCTTAAGTTTGAGTAATTTCTTATTGTGAATTTATAAATGTCACAGAATTCATTTTTTGTGGCACAGAATTTAGACTGCTTGTAGGTGCAGAATTCTAGCTTTATAAAAGTGTGGGGAACACACAGCCTTGGCTATTGGGCCAGGCATGTTGTGATGTGAGGAAGAGCTGAGGATCTAAAAAGAACTACATAAAATGAGAGCTAAGAATGAGTAGTGCCCATGACTCTCATGCAGTGGATCCTAATAAGGAGCGCCGTGAAGCTGTGAAGAGGAAGATCACCCAGTACTTGAAACGTGCTGAAGAGATCTTCAACTGCCATCTGCAACGAACTCTGGGAAATGGAAGCTCCACTGAAACGGTGAGAATTTTTTGGGGGGGGGGCGGAATAGGGGACAGGCAGCTGGATTCCCAGCAGTTTAAAAAACAATAAACAAAACCACCAAGTACTGTTACTGTCTCCTTTGTTCTACTCCACCTAGTTTCTCAAACTAAGACGTTTCTCAATTTTTCATTGATTGACAGGGTTACAGCAGCCTTCGCTTTCGGCCAATTAGGACACTCAGCGCACCAGTGGAGAACCTGAGGCACTGTAAGGTTGTAGGAATAATTGACAAGGTAACTAGTTGCACCTGGGATGGTGTTCTGGAAGAGTAACCATGTCAGGCAATTGTAGCGAAATCCTGAAGAAGCCTGGGCACCTTAAAGATTAATCTCTCTCCCCCCCCGCCCCCGATGTTGCTGCAGTGCATGACCACTGGCCATGTTGGTTGGGGCTGAGGGCAGCTGTGGTCCAACAGCATCCTTATCCTTGTGTTAGAGCACCCTCATAACTTCATGCAGCAAACTGAGTTGGCTCCAGCCTATGAAATCCAGTCTTTAGCTGCTTCAGGATTCTGCTGGTTTGTCCAATCATATTTTTACTGTGCCTCATCAGACAAGTTTTCATCATGTAAAACAACAAGAAGCAAAATGAAAAGGAGCAGTACTATGAAACAACAGCAGCGCCGCCCCCCCCACACAACTGAAGCTCTAAAAAGCTGCAGGAAATTAAAAACAACACTGATTTAAAATGCCTGAGAGAATAAAGAAAGATTCTCCCCAACCCTAAAACCTTGAGGTTCATATGGGTACCAGGCAGACCATTGCACTGTTGTGGTTAACTTGAGGTTTTGTTGCTTGTAGGTACAGATAGTGCAGGACCCTGCTACTGGGGGAACCTTTATACTGAAGGTATGTGCATCCGCCTTCCTCTGACTCCCTTCGTTTCCTCTATTTCCCTTCCTTTTGGCAATCCTAGACATGGTGTTACTGGAGAACCAACCTAGCCTTGAAAAAGCCCTCCTGGGCTCAACCTTGTTCTCTTTAGTATCTGTGAGGTTATAGCTAGCCCAGATCTCTCTATACTGTCCAATTTGTGAAGCTTTGCTCATGTCCTTTTCTATTGAGGAATTCCTTTTACAAATCCATTGCTAGCCCTCTTTTCCTTTTAGAAGAACAAAGCTTATTCTTCTCTCACATGTTCAAATACAAGCTATTTTAAAGTGCTGCTTTAAATTATATTAATGTCTAAATGAAAGAATTGGCAGCCTATTTATGAATCAAAGACTCGTGCGTAAAATCACAAACTGGTGAGAATCTTTGGGTTTAGTGTTAACACACTTCAGACTCCAGCAGCCAAGTTTTATTAGGAATAAAAATGAAGACAGGAGGACAAAGCAGACTGGGAAATAATAGGAACCCTTTAGCTCAAATCTATCTATGCTGACCTAGTTACTTACAAGCAGATTTCTGGACTCCTCACAAGTAACAAAGCAAAGGTGCTCGGTTACAGGGTTATCCAAATGGACGATGAAACCTGAGGAGGTGAGGGAACTCATGATGGAATGTGAGGGACAAAGGGACAATTTTACTAGTCCCTTTTTTAAGGGCTTCCACCCCATGTTGGGCTGAGTGACACCTGGCACTCTTTCAGCCAATCAGGTAACTAGTGTAACCCCTTTGTGGGAGCTAAGGAGATGTAAGCACCTGATGTGAGCAGGTGAAGATGGTTATCACTGGTGGAAATTACTGGGATTTCTCCTTCTACCTGCCAGGCCAAACCTATTCTGAGCTTGTGGACTCAGCTCAGCTGGAATATGTGCTTGCCTCACTCAGGCTAAACGGAGGGCAAGATAGCAGAGCCTTTTCTCCACAGAATCTGTGTATCTGCCACCCCCTTCTGTTTACTGTTGAGAAGTTGCTTGGCCAATGCCTCTTTATAGCATCAGGCCTCTACTGGTCCCCTTGCTCTTCCTGAGCTGCAGAAGCACTTGCACCAAAGGAATGCTAAGAAAGAAGGGGAGAACCTTGGCTGCAGTAAAAGTTCAATGCTGAACTTTGGTGCTTGACAATGGCTTTCCTATTTCAGCAGGCAGTTTTTCTATTTCCAGGATCAGTTTTAATTCTTATTATTCTTGTATATGTGTTGTTGTTTTAAACCCACTTAGGAATTTTGAACATTAAGTAATTTATTAATACCTGAAATAAACAAGCACTTTTAATGTATTTAAAGCATGCCCTGCCTTTTCAATTCAAAGTTTTCCAGTGTGGAATCACTTGCAAATAAAACCAGAGGTATTTTGGGGCCACAATGAAATTCTTCAGCAATAACAAATTGCCTAATTCAGGTACAGGGCCAATGCTGGAAAGGCAGAGTCTATAGAAAAATATTTCTCAGATAATCATTTACTGCTCCAGAGTACTTAAATGGAAAACATGCAGGGCTTCTGTACATTCTGCACGCTTTGGACTTTTACAGATTAGTTTCCAACTGTGTTCTATAATACAGTGGGTGGTAAGGGGGCCTTTCCCACACTGGAAGAGGCTGCTGGGCTCTTCTGGCCAAACAGCATTCAGACAGCCAACCCACATCTCTTGGTTCTGTGTTCCCTTCCAGAGCCTCCCCAAATCGCACGTGGAGACCCGTGAAAGGCAGACAATCATCCCACATGGAATCCCCTTTATGGTTGAATTGCTGTGCTACTCTGTAAGTGAGGACTCTGTCTTCCTCCACCTGGAACACGTGAAAGGTGAGTGTTAAAGGATTTGCCATTTCCCCGCTCGTATTTCTCAGCCTCACCTGGAGTAAATCTTTTGAGTGCTTGAGTTTTGTGTTTGTTGCTAAATTTACTTGGTCCTAATGAAAGTCTTGCCCAACTGTTTTGGGTTGTTTTTCTTATCATGGGCCAACATGGCTTCATTTGCTTTTTAATACAAAATGAGACCTTTGGGCAAATTGGAGATCATGCAAAGTACTAAGACTAAGTCGGACTAAGATTTATCAGTGTGCAAGCAAGGGGAAAGAGTGGAATTATTTCTGTCCATGAACCAAATAACCCTCTGAGATACCTTGAGTGTAGCATCCAGTACAGGAAGATGGAAAAATTCATTGTAGAGGATAACTCAACTGTAAACTAATTTCTCCTTCAGGGAACTGGGAATTGTGTGCACTTGCACGTAGAGCAGATTGGTTTTATGATTGCAGGAAACTGGAGTACCAGCCATCCTGTACAAAATACCATATTTTTTCATGTATAAGACTCCCCCATGTATAAGATGCCCTCTATTTTTTTATCCCAAAATTAAGAAAATACACTGTACACTATCCGTGTATAAGACAACCCTTTATGTTAAACTTCAAAAATTTAGGACAAAATATAGTCTTATACATGGAAAAATACGGTATTTCACTTCCTGCAGATCAGGTCAGATGTTACGTTGTTGTAGTCCAAACTTATTGTTGCTAGAACAGATCTGGATGAAAAGTGACCCATTATGCAAGTCTTTTAATAGGTCAACGTTATCAGGCACCAGTCTGAGGAACAGGATTTTTAGGTTTCCCCCACAGCATTTCTGCAAGTTACAGAAATGTAACATTGGAACCATCCAGTTTGTGTTTTTTGTGTCACTTCTTTTTCCATTCTCCATTAAATCCCAGCTGGCTTTGTGGTTTGTAGTCACCCTATAGCAGCTTGTTACACATGTTTATGGTTGCAGGTCATCCACTCTATCCTTCTTAGCCTGAGGTGGGTGGGAAGCTTTTGGGCATGTGGCGTCTGAGAAATTATCTTGCCAGAAACTTTTGATTGCTTCTTCCTCTGAGAGTTGGTTGAAGAATAGTTATCCTATGCATTCTGAATTTAGCTAATACCTCTGCTGGCCTGACTGCAGAGATATAGTAGGTTAGCAGCCTTTTGAATTGCACATCATTTTTCTTCAGGCAGGAATAAAATTGGGAACACTTAAGCGTTTGTTAATCCTGCCGGGGGCGGGAGCTTCTCTGTGCGGTTTGAAAGCTTGCTGCCTGATCCTCCCAATAGAGCTGGTTCAGTAAGAGATCAACTGAACCATTTAGCCTTCTCTCTGTCCTCTCAACCCTCTTATTCTCTGTGGCCTGGTATCAGGCTAGCAGGCAACTGTAGTAGAAGGGATAATGGAAGAGGAGGCACAGCTGTTGGGGAACTGGAGTTGGCATGTTTCTGAGAAGCCCTTCTTCCTTTTTCCCACAGGGGGGACCCTCTGGTCCCATCTTCGCTCACAGAATTGTTTCCATCATAAATCCTCCAGCACCTCCAATACATTGAATGCAAAGCTCAGCTTGGTCTTGAGTCACACCAGTGAAGAAGGGGTCAGAGGAAACCCTCAAGAAGCCGATTCTGTGTCCCAGCAGAGCTGCAATTTCTACCCTGAAAACAGTGCTAGCCAGATCCCTACTGCTGTAAATCGTCATCTGTTCAGAAGTGGTGACCACTCGTTGCCTCGGAAGAAGTCCCTTGACCATATGCATGTGAGAACATCGACTAATGAGAAGTGGCATGTTGGACCTGCAGTTGGACCATGGGGCATTATTGGAGGCAAGCATTTAAGTGCAACACACACTTTGTCTACACAATCTAATTTAAAACCAGCGCACTGGGGGCATCGCTGCTTGGTCAACCAGAGGACTTTCAGGTCGTGTGACTCACTTATCAGAACTGATAGCATCAGCAGCATATCTGAGAGAGCTACCACACAGCAGGAGCCAAAACCACATGCAGGCGAGAGATCTAGCCAACGTGTCTCAGAGACAGGAAGAGGATGCATGTCAAAAACAGAAGCTCCATGTCACCGAATAGCACAGCTTGCGCATTCTCCAGCTGGCCAAAGACAGGTGCATCCTGGAATTCTTCAGCAGAACCCATGTGGTCAGGAGAACCAACAGAATGTGACACAAATGAAAGAAGGGAGCCTTTTGCAGGAAGAGTTGACTACTGAGCATAAACAGCACATAAACCAGCTGGCACCAAGGCAATATGGGTCTGCAGCACACCAGTCTGCACACAGGGACAGCCTTGGGGCCTGGGATGTAAGTGAGGACCAGATCCAACTTTGGGCAGCTGAACTGGTTTTGGCTTTGGAGGGTCTCCACCAGCAGGGGATCCTATGCCAGGACCTCAACCCACGAAACCTACTGCTGGATGATACTGGTAAGTTTTCTCCCAAGAAGGGGCTGAATGAAAACTCTAGTCTGTCGTATTTGGTAGCTGGAGCATTTGGTTTCATTGGGAAAACATTCCAGCTCCCTCTCCCTTATGTTTTGTGAAATTACAGAAAAACAAATAACAATCTCTATTGTGAGGGGCAGGGAGAGCTCACTCCCAGGGCCAAATTCCCTCAGAGGAAAGTGGTTGAGACCAAAACACACTCTCACATACACCTGTGGGGCAAGAGATGAAGAGAGAATGAACTTAGAATCCAAGTTAGAAGGTACCACGATGGTCATGTAGTCCAACCCCTGCAATGCAGGAAACTTTGTCCAATGGGCTCAAACCCATGACCCTGAGATTAAGTCTTGTGCTTTACCAACTGAGCATGTCATTTTTCTGTACTGCGAGAAAAGCTTCCCTGTCCTCAGGTCTATATCTCAGTTCAGTCCCATAATCAGCATTTTGGTTCTGCTAAATAACATCACTTGAACCATGTTTGTTTAGATTTCCTGTTTATTTCCTTCGGCTTACAGGGGAGCTGTGAATAGACAGCACATATTGTCATTTAATAAAACAGGTGCCCAAGACTTAAACCCGAGGGCAGTTTTTGAGATTCGCAACTCAAATGGGGATTTGTCAGTGTTCAGAAAGGTGACTAGGGGCTTCTGATGCCTCCTGTTTTTCTTGGCTTTGCATAACTGCTCTTGCCATTTCTGTGGGTTCATAGGTCACATCCATCTCACATACTTTGGCCAGTGGACCGAGGTGGAACCACAGTGTTGCAGTGAGGCACTGGAAGACTTATACTGTGCTCCAGGTAATGAAGACATTTGCTCTTCCCTTGACAGATGGGGGCAAGAGGAAAGAAATATCACCCCCCCATTTATTTCTTTTATTTGCTTTTAAGTCATTTTATGCTGTTATATTGGTTTTGGTTTGTATTTTTGTTTTCATAATACTGCTTTTATATTATACCCCACTTGGAAATGTTTAGATATTAAGTGGTTTATAAATGCTCTTAAATGCAATAAAACAGGCAAGCTGGCCTGACCTGAGACACCTCTCTTTGTGACTACAGTCCTTTTAAAGCCTCTTGCCCAGATGGTTACAGGAGACAAGGGCTTCTGGCATGGACTTTCTGTTGCTGTAATTCACGCTTTTTTCTCTGCAGAGGTGGGTGGAATTTCTAAGCTGACCGAAGCTTGCGACTGGTGGAGCTTTGGGGCGCTGCTCTACGAGTTACTGAGTGGAACTGTGAGTAACTAAACCTGTCATATCTAGATTAGCAAGCCAGTATTAGGAAAACAGAAAGCGTTCTAATGGTGATAGTGGTGCTACACAAAGTGATGTTGACTAGGAGCACGACAAACTGCATTTGAACCTTGTTATCTTTCCCTTCTTTGCTGCAAAGTGTAAATTTTGTTGACGTGGATCGCCTGCACCATGGAGCCTACTGCTTACTTAGTTGGCATGGGCAAACTGGGTTATTTTCAGAACAGTTATCCTTAGCATTAGCAGCCTTTGCTGCAGGATAGCCTGGTTTTAATAGCTCTGTTTATCTCTTAGTCTTTAGCCCAGAATCACCCCTCAGGGATTCATCCTTACACCAAGGTTCATCTTCCAGAAAAGCTCAGCCAGTCTGCTTCATCCCTAGTCTCTGAGGTGAGAATGCTGGCCAGTTAGCATTAGAATTGGAGGATGGCTGTGACAGTATGCATTTGGAGTCTGAACTACCATCTCTCATTCCCTTCCCAGCTGCTGCAATATGATCCCAAGCAACGTTTAGGCTCTGGCGAAGAGGGAGTGAACAGGATCAAGGCACACCCTTTCTTCAGCACCATCCAATGGAACAAGTTAGTTGCATAATAAGAACCAAAGAGATTTGGGTGATGGTGTGGAGCTGTGGTTCCAGAGTGCAGCACCCGGCTGTTTTAACTGCTGGATTGTGTCCCTGCCAGATGGAAAACCCAAATCCTTCTAGAAGCACTTGCCTCCTGAATAAATAAATAAATAGCCCAGGTCTTGTGGACCTGGGTGGTGCCAATAGCGCTGTTCATAGAATAGAATCATAGAATCATAGAGTTGGAAGAGACCACAAGGGCCATCAAGTCCAACCCCCTGCCAAGCAGGAAACACCATCAGAGCACTCCTGACATACGGTTGTCAAGCCTCTGCTTAAAGACCTCCAAAGCAGGAGACTCCACCACACTCCTTGGCAGCAAATTCCACTGTCGAACAGCTCTTGCTGTTGCTCTGGGGGAAATCCACAGAGCTTGGCTGTAGATTTTTCAGCTTTGAGTTGCTCCTATTCTGCTTCCTAGCTATATGCCAATAGCAGCTAAAGGGATCAAATTCAGCTTTGGAAGATTTAGCCTGCTGGAGTTAACCTTCAAAGCATGAACAAAGATTATGAGCATCTTGTAAGGCTGACGTAGCCAACATCCTCCCTTCCACATGTTGCTGGACTCCAGCTCCCACCATCCTCAGTCGGCATGACCAGAGTCAAGGATGATGCCAGATGGCAATTCTGAGCAGTTGGAAGGCATCATGTTGGCTACCCCTGCAATAGATTCACAAAATTGTAGAGGTGGAAGGCACAAGGGTTCCAACCCCCTGCAAAGCAGGGAACTTTTGCCCAACATGGGGCTGGAACCCATAACCCTAAGATTAAGAGCCTCATGCTCTACCAACAGAACTGTCTAGGTATGGTTTGTTTGCAGAACCAAAACATCAAGCCCTTTATCGACGCTCTCAACATAGCTTACTCTACATCAGGCATGTCCAACTGGTTGATCGTGATCTACTGGTTGATCTCTGGGCGTCCCTGGTCAATTGGTGAAGGCTCCCCCAAAAAGCTCAACAACTTTGGTCAATCCCATGGGTAGATCACTGCAGTTTTCTATAGTGGGAGTAGATCACAGTCTCTCGGGAGCTGGACATGCCTGCTCTACATGATCAGTTTCCCCAAATCAGGCATGGCCAAAGGTGGCTTCCCCCCATACGTTCTACTTGCTTGTTCCCCGTCAATTCAGTTGAGCTTTCCAGCAATGTTCCTCGTGCCACAGCAGTATCTACTCTATCACGTATCAGCTGTGTCTCCTCCCTAATTTAACCTCGAAGCCTCTTCTTCCTATACCTGCTTGACCCCGTCCCCAGCTTACCAGTGCTTTTCTGCTTAAGTACCCTAGGCAGAAGTCTTGGATTACACTCTGTATAGTTCACAGCTTGCATGTTGCACTTGGCTTCTTCTGCAGAATGGAGATGAGCTCTTATGCAGAGGGGAAGTGAGCAAAAGGCTCTTCTTGTGATTGCTCTCAGTGGATCTTCCATGTTCTTGCCAATGAACGTTTTAAAATAAAAGACTCTCAGCACAACCAAGCACTTGCGTGCGATCTTTAGCAACATTGCTAGCTGGTTCTATTGTAATGCCCATGCAAAGGTGTAGCTTGGCTTCCACCAGCTGAGGCAGCTCACCATTACAGGTAGATGAGGTACCTTCCTATGCAAGGTATGCTGGAAAAACATGTAAGCCAAGGTGTGTAAAATATGACTGGTTTCTGGCACAAAATATGCACACGACACTATCTTCAGAACTGGTTCAAAGGTGATGGGTGCATTGTGTGTGGTTGTTAAGTGTAAGGATGGGAAATACTGTTGTTGTAGGCTGTGTATGTCAACTAAAAAAATGTGGACCTGTCTACCCTTTTTTAAGAGGTACCAGGAATTCTTTCACACATCATGAGAATTGCTTTGGAACAGTGGAGTTAACACCCTTCAGCCTTATTCTAAAATACTTGATGGCAATAATATGTAGCCCATTTTTCTTTCAGGAACAGATAAGCCTTCCTGGAAGCAGCCACTGTACTTCCTATGTGAGTCATACACACTGAGCTGTTTAGGTCCTAGTCAACTTATTCTAGGTTCCAATGGCTAAACATTGCAACCATTCAATACAATTTTTCTTTGTATAGTATGTATAAATAGATTTCTGGGCAGCTGCAGTAGCTGTTCTCAGCAGTAGCCCAACTCCTCCAACACACATTTCTAAACTTAAATTGAGAAACTGTTTGCATCTTTAGCCCAAGTAGAAATTGCAAATCAATCCCCAATGAGCATATACAGTAGTACCTCGGGTTAAGTACTTAATCCGTTCCGGAGGTCCGTTCTTAACCTGAAACTGTTCTTCACCTGAGGTACCACTTTAGCTAATGGGGCCTCCTACTGCCGTCGCAATTTCTGTTCTCATCCTGAAGCAAAGTTCTTAACCCAAGGTACTATTTCTGGGTTAGCGGAGTCTGTAACCTGAAGCGTCTGCAACCCGAGGTACCACTGTATAGGATGGACACAGGACAAATTCAGCAGCTGACTTCTCATCTGAAAACATTTCAGGCCTCTTACTCACATCATAGCTGTACAGTGAGAAAGTGTATAGCTCACATAGAACAAACAGACCAGAACCAATGATCTTAATAATAATAAATAGGTGTTTCAATACTGATGCTTTATAGCAGCACTTAACATTGTATATACTTCTCGCAAGACAACTGCTTGAGATTAGTATGTCTGCTGTGGATAGTGATTAGTTTTGGTAAAGAAAGTAGGCCTGATTCACAGTCCTTCATACAGAGAAGCTGATTGTAAAACTACTTCCCCTGTTGCTACCAGTGTTATTCACCTGTTGCAGGCTAGAAAGGGTACCCAGATTGATAGGAGGACATACATGAGAACCTAGATTATTTAATTTCCTTGGGATGCTCAAGACCTCCAGGTACCTCGTCAAACTAAAGAGTTTGCTCTCTTCCTCCTATGAGATGCTTTTGACTAATAAAGTCTTTTCTAGTTCTGTCCCATTAAAACTTGAGAGCAGGTGCAGAGGCACGGCAGAAAATACACCAAACATCAGCCAACACAATACGAGTCACAGAGCTAACTTTTGCTTTGGCTTAAATCGAGCTTTTTAGATAGCTATATACCACTGTATCTGTGCTTCAATCCAATGTTTCAAGAGTAGAAAAATCTGCATTGGCACCCCGTGAACATATTGCCAACTGCAGCACCTCAAGCCAATCTGGAGAGCACTCAAACTGCGGGGAGAGGAGCTGAGAAAGACACACCTACACTGCTTTTTGTTTAGGAACATGACACTTGTGGGTACCATAGCACCCTCAGACATCTTCCTTTATCTCTCCCATATTTTTTTAAAAAAAGAACTGTTTTCGTTTGGGGGAATTGACTAAAAAATAATACTGTGTGTTTCGAGTTGTATGAAGCCATTTTGCCTTGAAGGGGTGGGGAACAAGTAGTCTTTCCCTGCTACATAAAATATAACTATGGCAGACTATTGTGACTGCTGCCTTCAAAGATCCCAATCTCTCTCCTGTTTTTGGCTACCAAAACCCCTTAAGGGCACAGCGTAACGTTTAAAACATCTAATGTAGGCACACTCCAAAATCTTCCCAACAGATGTAGAGCTTGAAGTCATAATTTACTGTCACATCTAAACCAGGCAAACTATGGTTTGCTTGCAAACCAAGATGACAAATCAGTCTGAACTAGGGTTGTGGGCAAACTATAGTTTTCTTGCCCTGGCTGTAATGTCAAGCTATGGCTTTTTATTTAACAGTGAATGGTCTGGGGGTCTGGGGCGGTGGGGGGGGGGTCATGTAAGACAGAGCTTGTTCACATAGCCCCCGTGATTTGGCATTACATCTGAACTGATCTAGAATGAGGCAGATCACATACACTCACAGTTCTGTTACCCAGAAGTGAGTTACCTAATTTACACCATCTATACTAAACTCAGGGACGCGGGTGGCGCTGTGGCTAAAACCTCAGTGCCTAGGACTTGCCAATCGTATGGTCAGCGGTTCGAATCCCCGCAGCAGGGTGAGCTCCCGTCTTTCGGTCCCAGCTCCTGCCCACCTAGCAGTTCGAAAGCACCCCTAAGTGCAAGTAGATAAATAGGTACCGCTTTATAGCGGGAAGGTAAACGGCGTTTCCGTGTGCTGCGCTGGTGCTGGCTCGCCAGAGCAGCTTCGTCACGCTGGCCACGTGACCCGGAAGTGTCTTTGGACAGCGCTGGCTCCCGGCCTCTTAAGTGAGATGAGCGCACAACCCTAGAGTCGGACATGACTGGCCCGTACAGGCAGGGGTACCTTTACCTTTACCTTATACTAAACTCAGAAAAACTTGGGCAAACTCAGCTCAGATTCTGTTCCTTTGAAGGTGTTCCTCAACTGCTTATAAACACAACGTCTTACCCTAAGTGTCATCCCACTGTATTTCATTTCTCCCATTCATACACACACACATAATTTCCTTGTTTTATTTTGTTTAAAATCTGTCATGTTAAATACTTTAATTACACGTTCTGTGCGGCGAACAAGAGTAATAAACCCTGCAGGCACTAGCAACCCTCTCACTCAACAATATATGTGCACGCTATTGTACTAAGGATATGTCCCCATGAACCAGCAAGCCTTAGGCTAGGATACATGCCACACAAGACAACCTAGTCCCAACCTACATTACCATACCATTGCAGTCACGAAGTTGATAAAACCATTCAATGAGGATTAGATGGAACGTAGGACAGCCACCGAAGGTTGCCATCTCCCCCTAATCCCCAGCAGCCAGTCAACTTGAACTGGACCTGACAGCGAGATGGGACACCCATTCTGCCCTACCAGAGGCTTAGAACGAAAGAAACAACTTCCAAGTGGGAGAGGGAGAGAGCTGCTACTGCCACTTCCTTGCTTGTGAAGGGATGAGGCAGAGGAAGGTCCCTGAAAACAATCCTTAGAACTGCCCCTCACTACTAGGAGAGGATCTAGATAATGGCTGGGGAGGCAGTATCCCCTGGGAGTGCCTCATCCCGTTAAGGTCAAAAAACCCACAAGGTGGCTGGAGTGCAGATTTACTCTCCGTTACTGGAGGCATGTAAGATCAGGCACAGCAATTGAATCGCCCTAGAGAGCCTCAGGCTAGCTTCGCTGTTCCAAAGATCTAGAGCCTTCAAGTGGAGCAGAGACCAGCCTTTCCCCTCCGACAGCTGCCGCGATGATACTGAATTAAAGCTGAGTTTCTGTGCAAGAGCTGCTCGGGAGGGAAGCTCTAGCTAAACAGCAGGCAGCTTCTGTTCCCACAAGATCAAGAGATGAGGCTATGTCTGTTTGGAGCAAGAAGAGGGGAAATGGTAGGTTACATCTGAACAGGTAATGACACCTGCTTGTCTGCCCTGGGAAGAAAATGAACCATCTTTGGAAGAGGCAGGAAAGGTGGGTGGCACACTACCCTCGGGGGTTCCTTTCAAAGCACCTCCTGCCACTAGGGGGAGGAGATGACTGGAATGAAGCCCTGCTGATTCCTGAATGTCCTCTGTTCCATCTGCTGCTGCTGCTGCTGCTGCGTCCTTGCTCTACTGGATGGGGCAGGTGGGGGCTGCTGTTCTCTACAGGTCAAGCAGCAGCACACGAGGATCTTCCACCACAGCCTTGATCTTGCGCAGGAAAGTCACCGCCTCTCTGCCATCAATCAACCGGTGGTCGTACGTCAGGGCCACATACATCATTGGGCGCACCTCAACCTAAGGAAGAAAAAAGAGATGGTTAAGCTGAACATTTTCTTTTGTAATCAACTTGGTGCTGTACCTCAAAGCCTAAGCAAGTTACATTTTAAGCTTTGTAACATTTGCCCTGCATAACCAAGAAAGTGAAACCCCAAGCTGGAGTTTTCTTATGTCTTAATAATTTGACACAAACTCTTCAAACCTTTCCCCCACACATTCACCCTCTAATTCAAACCCAGAATACTCCCCTATCTTCTCAGAATAATTTTACAGTGGTCAAAACTTCCAGTTGGTCCTTTTCTACTGCACTTGTCAGGGCTCCTAGTTCAGCCTGATCCACTTCTTTCTCCTCCATCATCAGACTGGACAGTTGGTTAGAGTGTGGTCTTGATAATGCCAAGGCTGCAGGTTCAATCCCTGTATGGGGCAGCAGCATATTCCTGCAAAGCAGGGGGGTGGACTAGATATCCCCCAGGGTCCCTTCCAACTCCACAATTCTATGTTTCTATTTTACTAGACTGAAGGCCCCCTTTAAACATTACTCTAGCCATCTGGAAGATGCTTTGCTATGAGCAGCTTCAGCATGGGTAGGCTTTATACCTGAAGCAGCATCTCCACCCCATCATTCAGCCTAGACAATGAGGTCCTGCTCCAAGGATCTTCTGGCATTTCCCTCATTGTGTAACATTTAAGTTACACAGAAGCAAGCAGAGGGCCTTCTCAGTAGTGGCGCCCGCCCTGTGGAACACCCAGCCATCAATGTCAAGGGACAGAAGCGACTCTATGACACTGAAGGCAGGCCTGTATAGGGAAGTTTTTAATATTTGATGTTTTATTGGGCTTTTATATTTTTCTGGAAGGCCCCAGAACGGCTGGGACAACCCAGTCAGATGGGCGGCATAACAACAACAGCAACAACAACAATAAATTGGCTTATCTACCTAGCCTGGTCATTTACATGTCATCTCAACTGTGCAGGAGCCAGTCACAGAAAAGTGGCTTGCCAGCGGCTAAGGTAACGTTTAAAAGCCCCATTAAGCCCCTTAACCTTCCATACAGTACATACTTTGCCTCCAACAGCAACAGGCCTGTCAAAGATGCCATGCATGCCCAAGATAGCAGACTGAGGGGGGTTGATGATGGGTGTCCCAAACAGGGATCCAAATACACCGCCGTTACTGATGGTGAATGTGCCGCCATCCATATCCTCAATGGCAAGCTCATTCTTGCGGGCCTGAAATGAGAGGGGGGGGGAGGAGAAATACTCAGTATCACTAGCATGTGAACACCTCAGAAAGTTCCCCACACTAAGCAAAGGCAAGAAGTTATCTGAGAATCCCCAATGACTAGTGAAAATATTGAGGTTACAGGGGGAGTCCTTTGAAGTTCACATAAATATCTTCAAGGTCGAGGGTGCTATCAACTTCAGAATGATCAAAGCACAAGACAGAGAGCAATAGCTAGATTTTTGCTGGGGTAGCTTAAGACTGTAACAGAATGTACCTTTTTCAACACATGGCAATTCTAAGAAGGATAAGAATAAATTGAGTCATTCCTATTTTGCCACAGCACTGTCCAACATATTATTTATGGGTGTAAAAAAAAAAAAAAGGAATACAGGTACACTTGGTTCCAATACAATGGAAGGGACTCTCATCACTGTGCCACCATATAAAGTGCTATGTCTTGAAGGCACAGCAGAATGAGTTTCCGTCTCCCCCCACAATATGCTTCCTTGAGAACACCCTCCCTATTACTGTTGACAAACTTGAATCCAGCCTGTTTCATGTTGTTTGCAAATTTAGCATAAACAATATGTTTTTTCTTGAACTGCAACCAGATACGGAGATGGCTACTAGTTTACATCACTTTTTTAAAAGTTAGATTTGTCTTCCAGAAAACATGTCGATCAACATCTATTAGTCAGAACGGCCAAGTGTTTTCAGGTGATGTATCACAGAGCACCAAATGCTAGATATATATATCTGGGCCTGGAATTTTAAGGCTTCTTAAAGTGGAGACTCTGCAGTTGGCTTTAGCTTTTTGTCAAATTACTGAACCAGAACCTTCACCCTGCCACTGTCTTAGTCACACTCCCCTTTCCCCCTTCTGATACCCCTTAAGAAAGATGCATGTCTGGTTTTCACCCTTGAGAACCCTTTATACTCGAAACATTACCTTTTCCCCCAGCTCATTGATTGCTCGCTCAATGTCAGCAAAGTTCATTGTTTCTACATTTCTGATTACAGGGACCACAAGACCCTGAAAGAAACAAAGATCTCTGAGTCAAACACAACATATATAACATGACAACAAGAGCCAAATATAGAGCAAGCCATCACTGGACAGAGGTGTGTACCCAGAGGTACCATCTTCTCTAACTGATTGAGGCAGCCCAACATCTTGAGGAGCCAGGGGACGGAGCCAAACACCCTCTGAACATTGAGGGGGTGGAACTCCCTTGGCCCCTAGGAGCTGGCGCCTATGGGTGTATCTAAAACAGGATTGGGGGACTTACTTCCTCTACCCCCTCCCAAGTCAAATTTGATGCCCTCTGTATCTCACTACGCCTATGACTGATCCCCCATGCCACCCTGGAAGTTTGGACAAGAACACCCTCCCTTGCTGTAGGATTAGACAAAGCCAAGAAGCTTGTCTCTGAATTTTCATTTCTTACAGCTGAACACCAAACCAAATGATGTCCCATGCATCAGCCAGATGCATGTTCCCACAATACATACCCTAGGAGTTGCCACTGCAACACTGATATCCACATATTCCCTGTACACAATCTCTTTGGTAGTATCGTCTATCACTAGATGGAGAAAGAAAAGCAGGCCATTACATACAGAAGCATCACGAGTCAAAGCTCTAATCAGGAGCAAAAATCAAGCTTTATTGATTTAGTCGATCTTTTCCTTCCATTCACTAAAAATTAGTAATGGAGGGAAGCTGATCTGCCTAGTGTAAAGGAAACACGAGGTTTCCGCCAGTCACCACCTTGCAAGGAGCAAGTGCCTTGACCTTTTCTTTTTCCTTCAAGTCCTGTGTGTTTGGAGAAATAGGCAGTCTTGTCTCATTTACACAGATGCATGGAAAAGGTAAGAAACAGCAGGAGCTGGGCATGCAATTTCTTTCCATAGACCAACTTCTGCCCAAGTGAATATCCTTTTGCTAAGAAAGGGTTTGTCACAACACAGTTGCTTTTCTTTGCACAAGTGCAGAGACTCTCAGCTGCTGCACGTGACTTAATCATGAGGTCTGATAGTACTACCTTCCACAGAGGCTTGCTCATGACACTCAGGCATCTCAGAAACACTGCCCCATTGTTCTCACCTCCATTTACAACAGGCTGCTCTTGCAACGCAAAGGCTGCAGCTTTCACGAAGGCAGACATAAAGCCAAGTTTCATATTGTGCTTCTTCAGGAAGTTGTCCCTGTGCCGGGCTCTCATTTCCTGGATGTTACTGAAAAAGCCATCAGAAGAACATTTACTACTAGGAAAAGTAGTAGTATCTACTTAAGCACCGGATCTGCAGCACATTCCTGACTAGAGTTACTTTGTGGCTCAACCCTTATTTCAAAAGTGGCTTGCAATTTATTAATTTTTTTTAAAAGAAATGTTATCAGAGTTTCAACAAAGAGTTTCACTGCAGTATAGACTGGCTGATCTCTGAGAAATGTATCAGGAGTGGAAAAATTACTAATATTTTCTCTCCCTCCCCAAAGTTTACAACAGCCAATTACTTTACAACCATTACTAATGTTACCCTCAGGGTGTCACCAAAACAAGCTACTGCATACTATGCTGAAATGCATATGGCTGTTCAAAGTATCCCCATGTGATGATGAACTTTCAGGCAGATGAACACTTTAAAATTCCTATAGATATTTAAATTATGGGGACGACCACCACACATCTGGTCAAAGGAGGAATAAAATGTTAGATTTGCCTGCTGGTTATAGGTTCTTCACTGCTGCGCTAGAGCTACAGGGTCATACAATGAAACTAAAATGTTGGGAGATTTAGAAGGAGGAACTTCTTCACAGTGCACGTAGCAAAACTATGGACTTCACACTCACGAGATGTCAGTGAGGACCACTAACCCTGATGGCTTGGAAAGAGGATGAGACATGGAAGATAAAGCTACTGGTGGCTGCTAACCATGACAGCTATCTACTGCTTCCAGTAACAGAAAGCAGAATGCCTCTTAATGCCAGTTCCTAGTGATCATAAAGGGGCAGAATGCTCATATCTTGTCTGAAGGCTTCCAATAGGCACATGTTTGGCCAATGAGAGTACAGAAGACCTCTTCACAAGACCTTGGAGAGCTCCACAAAACCAGAGTAGACAGGTTATAGGTCTCTTGGGTTCAATATTGACACAGTGAAAGCAAACTTCAGAATAAGCATAATGGGAAATGAGGAGGGACCTTGTGCCTCCAACAGGCTCCATCCATCCTGACAGAATTTGACCGTCACTTTGTTTATGACTATCTAAAAAGTAAACCATGTCTCCAGTTCCTTTGGCCACACTTAACAAGCACATGAGTTTGGGGCTATGTACTTTGGAGGACCTCTGATGCAATGACTCTAAAAGGCCCTCAATCAGAGTACAGAAAGTAGCAGTTACCATCATTCACTTACTGGAGCAGAAGCCAGCCACCCAAATTGAACAGAATAGCTTTGTCTTGACAATTCTAGGCAGGCATTGTAGCCTTCATCTTCCCCCTCCCAGACAATATGGCTTTAGAGAGGCAGTTTTTAGCAAGTACAAGTGCCCCTTTGGGTTTAGACTGTTTGTTTTCCTTTGCCTAATCTTGTTTAGAGCTAGGATTACCGTCCAAAGACATTACCGCCTCCCAAGATACAAGGGTTTGAGGGGAGGAAGCCATCATGAGAAGCCTTTACAGCAGACACTGACACCCAGTGGGGAGGCAAAAGGCCTTGGCCTAAGCCCTTGCAAGTCGGGGGGCAATCAATCCAAAGCAGATTACTGACTGCAACAAGAGCCCAAGGCCAGAGTAAAGCGACACCTCCATTAGCCTCTAAAATGAGGTAAGTTGCAGCATTTCCTCTCCAATCACGATTATTTTGCCAACCTTATTATTCCAAGCACCAAATATTTACGTGTTTTGTCTTAAGAAGCAGGATAGGATTTCATAGAGCAATTTGATTTGGGCACCATTTTCCTTAATGTGCTGAAACATAAGCTTCCCCCTCCCCAAATCCATTAGTGCTCAGCCCACAAACGCACTTCATGGAACACAGTTGGTTCTCCAACTGCCAAGGAGAGATGCTAAGGCCGGGCGAGAGCTCCAGGACCTGCCTTTCGGCCGGTTGCACAGCTGAGTCCTTGCTTAGAAATAGCCTCAAATCTATACAACCAAGAAGCTGGCTAAAACCACTTCATCCCAGGACAAAACACACAAGATCAATGCACACCAATGAGCCAAAGTTCCTGTTCCTAGTGCAACACAGAAAGATCTTGGCTTACCTGCACATACTGAAGATATGGTCCTTACCTCATATCAATTTCATTGAAGGTGGTCAGCATGGCACATGTATTTTGAGCCTCTTTCAGGCGCTGAGCAATGCGTTGACGCATCCTGTTCATTTTCACCTGAAGTGGAACAAAAAGAGATATAGTCAAACCTCAGATCCTGAACGCCTCAGTTTTGGAACGTTTCGGCTCCCAAACGCCAAAAAACCAGACGTAAATGCTCCTATTTCCGAATGTTTTTCGGAACCCAAACATCCGACACGGCTTCCGCTTCAGTGCAGGAAGCTCCTGCAACCAATCAGAAGCCATGCCTCAGTTGTCAAACATTTCGGAAGCCGAACGGGTTTCTGGAACGGATTACGTTCAACAACCGAGGTTTGACTGTAATGGGGGAAAGGTGGTTTTGCAAACTGACGTTGACAAGAATTCACATTGTTGACTATCACTACCAGGAATAACACAAGTAGGAAAGGCAGTGCTCATGAGCTAAAAACTTTGCTGTATTCAGCCACTGCTCACAGAATAGTACAGTGGTACCTCGGGTTAAGAACTTAATTCGTTCTGGAGGTCTGTTCTTAACCTGAAACTGTTCTTAACCTGAAGCACCACTTTAGCTAATGGGGCCTCCTGCTGCCGCTGCGCCACCGGAGCACAATTTCTGTTCTCATCCTGAAGCAAAGTTCTTAACCTGAGGTACTATTTCTGGATTAGCAGAGTCTGTAAACTGAAGCGTATGTAACCTGAAGCATATGTAACCCGAGGTACCACTGTTCAACACAACTTGACCACTGCATCTCATGAAGCTTAGACTGGAGGTTTTTCAGGCAAAAGAATGGTCCCCACTCGGCCTCAATCACCCTCATGCACTGCCCCATAAGCGCAAGAAGTTTCCAATTACCCTTTGCTCCACTCTGGCTCCTTTGCTGACCCCAGGTTCCGCCACAGGAGCAGCTGCAACTGGCTTTACTGCAGAAACTGAAAGAAAATTGGGGGGGGGGGGGAGAGAGAAATGTGTCAAGGGACTGAGAGAAGAAGGTTTATGTCCTGGCAAGCAATGGATGAACACGAAGGCTATCTGAAGTAGAGATGAAATACTCATTTGGGAGATGATACCTAATGCATGCTAGGTAGCAAGGTGGACATTCTTTAACACTCTCCTGTGGACAGTTCTGCAGTCTCCAGTTCGGAATAACTCCCTGCTTATGCAGGTGGAAGGAGGTTGGTTAAGGGGGATTAGAGATGGTCTTGGTCTCACCTGGTTTAGAATCCACAGGGAGTGATGACACAGGGGGCACTGGAGGCATCGTAGTGGGAATTTGTGCTGCAGGGGCAGGTGCTGCTGCAGGAGGAGGAGGAGGAGGCGCTGCCGGTTCTGGTGCAGGGGCTGCTGCTGGTTTGGCCTTGGCAGGTGCAGCTAAACAGAAGAATTGAGAAAGGCAGTTGCACAGGCAGACAGAATCCAAGAGGTGCATTTTTTCCACAGACCATCCAAGCAGGCTCTTTCAGTATCTTTGAGAAAATTACCCTTTTGAATCAGGAGCCCATATTAATATAATAAGACAGTGTTCACTTGTCTCATTGGCACCCAGAAAATAAACTTGCGAAATGGTATAGCTAAGCACAGAGGCAGTGGGCTCGGGAGGCAGCAAGTTCCATAGATTAGGTTCTTTTAAAAGCTGAGTTTGGAAACTAAACCAAAGTGCTGGTGGCGACATTTAAAGCCTTAAAATGGTTTGCTACCTGTTGTATCTGGCATCGTGTATACCCACACTAATTTGCTCGAGGCTTTGAGATTAGCAACCGAGGCCCTGTTCCCAGGTCTAACATTTACTAAGGTCTGACTGGCAAGAGTCTAGAGCAGGGTTACCCAATGTGGTGCTTCCATGGGAACAAATGTAGTAACTGCATGAGTCACCTGTTCCCACATTCCACCCCTCCTCAAAGAACCTGCTTCTTTCTATTTATCTTTCAATAAATCACAAACCCCTATATTTTTACACATTGCCCATAAAATTTTGCAGGGAATTACTGTGATTTTTCCCCCTGCCAAAGTATGCAAGTCAAGTTGAATTTGGACAATTCAGTCCAGTTACAGCATTCAGATACGGATTCTTTATTTCTGCAGCAAAGCCCATCATTGTCGCAACTGTGACAGTGTAAGAAACAGACATGGCTGGTCCCAACTTACCTCCGGTTTTCCTGAGTTTAAACAAAGGTGTACCTCCTTCCACTTTCCCCCCATCAGGAACTAGAAGTGCTTCAATTACGCCAGCTACCGGAGCTGGAACCTGCACAGATGTCTGTAGATAAAACACAAATGAGCTCTCCCCTAATCATCAAAAGGAAATATGTTAAGCAAATGGGACTATCCCTTGAAGAGGAATAAATGGCACATGAATGGGATTGGCCTTTCTACAGAAATCATGCAAAGAAACAGCATCATGGAGATATTGCATCTTGGGGGTATACATATTTCACTGGAAATCAACTCTGCATTTCATCACAAGAAGGAACAGTACAGTTATTTATTTGTATCAACTGTACTGCTTGTTAAGTCCAGAGCCCCCAAAGGAAGCCAGTAGTATGGCATTTGCTAATAAGCCTCTCCCTCTCCAGTACAGTGGTGCCTCGCAAGACGAAATTTATTCGTTCTGCGAGTTTTTTCGTCTTGCGAATTTTTCGTCTTGTGAATTTTTCGTCTTGCGAGTTTTTCGTCTTGCGAGGTACCACTGTATATAAACTGATTCACTCTCAATCTGAGAATGATGGAGGACATGCAAGCTCCCAGAAGGCATAGTTGAAAACGAGAAAGTTTTTCGAGTCAAAAGCTAGAAGAGTGCCCCTTGCCTAGGTTTTGTGATCTTCGGTTGTCTTTAGCTTACCCACCTCCACTCTGGAGAGCATCAAGAAACTACCCCATAAGAGCAACATTGAAGAATCAGAACAAAAGGCCTATCTAGTCTGGCATCCTGTTTCCCACAATAGGCATTTTCTCTATTTTCCGCACACCACGCATAACTGAATACATCATCTGGCGTTTCTAATTATACAAGAAAAATAGGACGTTTACCTTGTCTGTTTCAATTTCACATACCACTTCATCTTCTCCTACTGTGTCACCCACAGCTAAAAATGAAAAGAACCACCCTAAGTAAGGAAACTCTTAAAGCTCATTTTCTTAAAGCTCACATCAATGCCTCACAGAGAGTCTCAATTCTTACATGTATGCCGGAGGACTTGCAAGATCATAATAAGGGTCTGGACATTACATACCTCATAGAGGACTTACACTGACCTTTCAAACTTTAATTAGTTTGGTAAATTTTCACCTATCGAATAAGTGTGTCCAGAGCTCCTTTCACCAATTACGACTTTAGTGTATTCCCACAACAGACCAAGAAAACCGTAGAAGACAAAAAAGCTGCCTCTTACCTTTCTCCCACCTGACATCTCCCTCTGTGACTGATTCTGCAAATGCTGGTGTGTTCACTGTAACAACTTCTTCCCCTGTAGAAGAAATGTATATCTGCATGTAGTAAAAGCCTTCACATTCAGTCATTTTAGATTCTGGAATGTCTATGGACAAACAGCATTATTAGAAACCTCTTATATCTAGCAATACCTCCGAGAACATCTACACCGACCTATTTACACGAAAGCCAAGGTTTGTTGTCCCACAGATGATCAAACAAACCATAGTTTTCTTCTCTGAAGTTTGATTTGTTTCCCAGCTGCGCTTGCCTTGTGCCTTTGATGAGCGTTTGGGGTGAGGTGGTCAAGCAAACCATGGTTAAGGAAGGGAGCTGGGTTCACACAGCACACTAAACTTAACTGAAAGAAACCAAGGTTTGTAAGCCAATGACAAACAATGGCTTTAGACTATTGTTTGTTGGCAGTAAACCACAGAAGCTGCTGGGCTGGACTCACACCTAAGGCTAAGTTATAGTTTAATGAGTCGTGGTTTAGCGTTATGTGGGAACCAAAACAGTGTCATCTCTCTTTTCTCCTTAAAATCTGCCTCCTCAGGTAGACTGTTCTCCCTCTTCCATAAAAGTAGAACATTGGGGTCATTTTGCAGTAGATTCAGGACATATTTATATACTTACTCTTGCCTCTCCATTATTTCCCAAACTGTTGAAACAAATCATAAGCTTCTCAGGACAGGGAACAGGCTTTTTTTAGTTTATATTATTTTGCAGAGCATCTTTTACACAGGTGACATGCTAATAATCATGCTTAATCTGAGACACTTGAGGGATGGGGGGAGCGACCAGTAAGGGACATAATATACCACAGTCCAACCTACACTGCATCACAACCACCTGTAGTATGACAAACAAAGAAAAAACACAATTCCAGTCTATTACTTTGTATTCCTGCATTTTGTACTCCTTAGTTTAGACTAAGAATCAGTTGGAGAACAAGCTTGGAAGGAAATGTGCAGGCAGAGAAGCCCTCCCCCCAGCTGCAGTCATCTCAGGTACTTACTGCACACTGTGGTAGTTCTGAAATAACGGACAGTGAACACACGGGAGCCATTTACCCTGGAGAGCAAGAAACAAGAGATCAACTAAAGGCCAGCAAGAAGCAGTACAGATTTTGCATCTGTTGGCCTGACTTGACTGGGTTGTCAATCAGCAGCCCTGACAATTAACACGCTCATCGGGGCAGATGACATTCTGCACAGTACCTAAGGGAGTCTATTTCAAGGCATTCGACAATCAAGGAAGATCATATTTCTGGGGTGCTACCTAGCTTGTTCCCCCCTCCAGAACAAATTATGCAAAATATGCAAATATATAAATTCATTCAAATCAGGTAATTTATACAGTTCAATAATTCTTCTACTCTTGGTGCAGAATGTGGATTACTCTGGTCTGGGATAATTTGGACACAGAGAATGCAGCTATCCCTCTCTGACAATACTGTAACTAGGAACTGGGGTTGTAGCAGCTACTCTCCATCCATGCAAACAGTCAAAACATATTGACTATTTACAGTTGAATACTTACAAATGCTTCCTGCTGTTGGCATAAGCTAACCCCTGGCATCGAGAGACACCTGGAAACAGAAAGCACTTCAATTAGAAATCTGTTTACATTATATCGCTTATTACAGTAACGTGTACTAAGACAAATTAGTTTAATAAATGTTATAAAGGTAAAAATAGCAGCTGACAATTATTATTGACATGTAAAAGTCTCCACACCATTATCCTAGTCCTCAACAACCTAGTCCTTTATCTGTTTTTTTATAAAAGATTAATAGCAGCCCCAGTATCCGAAATCTAAGCGTTGGCCAGCGAGGTGGGCAAGATTAATATCTATCAAGAAATGGAAAAGACACTAACACAAGATCTCTGCATTCATTTAATTTATTTTGTAGCATTTCCTCCACCACCACAACATCCAGAATCATTCAATTCATCTGCATCTGGGGAGAAATGTTTAGAAAAATTTGCATACCCTGTGCTCCTTCCCTTTTTCGATAAAGAACAAAAACATTAACAACACATCGTTTCTAAAAGGGGCCATTTTTTGGGAAGTGCTCAATTAATTCCAATTAATTGCACAGTGTTCCTGAAATAATTTATACAGTGTCAAATTATGCCAGAATGGGTGGTCCCATGAGTCTTTTTCCCAGAACAATCCTCATGAGCAAGACTCCAAATACTTACTGGATACATCTTAGAAATTCTATCTGTAAAGTCATATGGGCTAACTTATTTTGATGTGAGTTTCAACATGTTTGGGCGCTTGGGATCATCTTATTATCTGAGCCAAAAAGTTACATCAAAATCAACTCTAAGATCTCTTGCAAGGCAACCTACCGTTCCCTAAATTATGTTCTAAATTATGTATTTTGAACATAAGTCATACAGAACTCCTTCTGCCCAAACCTTCTTAAGTGAATGGGAAATGCATCAGAGCATCTCTACTTTTTCAAACTTATCAAATTGGTGCAGGTTAAAAATACTGTGCTCATCCACCTACATATCCTGAGTATCTGGGCAGGAAACAGGAATCATTTATCTATCCTTTAATGTGGGAACTGCCAAGGAAGGTTAAAAATGGAGTTCATTGGTGGTTATGCTGACTCTGCATTATGGTCATTTTCAAATATTCTAATCTGTACACAAATCTGTTGGTTGAATGAGCTGGTCATTTATGCTACATAGCTTGTTTTAACATATCATAGGTAAACATGGAATTCATTTCTCACTTTCTTTAATCTTTAACTACTTTTAAAACCACTTGTGGCTTTAAAGAAAAAAGTATGAATGTACTATAGTTTTTAACCCGGTTTTCATTAGATTTCCCTTGTCACGGTGATTATGAAACAGACAAGACACCTAATAATAATAAGAAGAAAGACAGACACCTAATAATAATAATAATAATAATAATAATAATAATAAACTCACTGGAGAGTGAATGTTTCCCCTGTGGACAGCTCCCCTGCTGAAGAGAAAGATTATACAATCACCAATACAAAAAAATAAGTCATGAGTAACTCAAGGCAGAGTCACCTTTCCACACTATTCTACATTCCAAAGTAGAGAATAAATATACTGTATTCAGATTCAGTAGGCTATAATGACACCCCTTCTCATCAGCAAGGTGTGACTACCCTAGTTTGTCAGAGAAAGTAGCCCCAAGTTAATAACAGAACTTTAGAGCTGAAAGTGACCATGGGGTTCATCTCGTCCAACACTCTGCAATGCAGGAATCTCAACGAATGCCTTACGCTTTCAAATATTTTTCATCCACATGAAAAAGGCATCCATAAAGTTTAATACAGGAGATCAATTTTTTTGCTTGTTTGCTGTTCTCCTTTATGTTCAAAAATGCACAGCCTTCAATGCAATCCTACACACCTACTTAGAATATGCCCCACCAAGTTCAATGGGATTTATTCCCATGTAAATGTGTACAGAGTTGCAACTTTAATAAGCAAGAGGGAAAGGTTCTCGAAACCTTGTATGCCTCTCTCTTATATAATATGATGGCTAAATATTGAGGTATGACAGCTACATATTGCAAAATGGGGTAACAGGATCAAACTCGTGATTACAGGCAATTAATATGCATAGTCTTCCCATTTGAATTACTATGAAGCCTAATGGTTTAATTAAGATGAGAACTGCCTCTGGCTTTTGATTTCATCTTTTGATTTCATCAGGTAAGCCTGTACAAACAATGGGATGTAATGGGGAAAAAATGGATGATAGCCAATGCTAGTCACACAAGTAGATCCACTGAAATCTTGTCAATTGATTTAAATGGGTCTACTCTGTGCATGACATAGCTGGATATCACCCAGTGAGTGTGATGCAGTGGAAAGCATGCGTTCAAATCCTTGTTTATCCACAAACAGCATCAATCCCATGTCAGTAAAATGGAAATCATCATAGCTTACTTCAAAAGATTGCTGCGAGGACATATACTGACTACCCTGAGCACAGTAGCATGATTAACTGTAATGAGGCAGAAATTCCTATTCTGATGAGCTACATAATTTGTAAACTCATTTTCAGCGAATGATTTTAGCTTCTGGCTATTACACTGAGTTCATTTTTTCAGTATTATCCTGATTGCACAGCCCAGATTCCTAGGTTCAGAAAAGTCAGCCCAGATATATTTTACAACATGAAATGTGGAACAAGCAGTGCACAGCACAAGGAGACTGAATAGTAGTGGCTACTACTCTATCCTTCTCAATATACCCACCAGAACTCCTTGATGGAACTGAACCTTCATGTTCTATGGCTTCCCCGTCTCGTTATAAATTTATAAAATGTAACAAAAATGAGATTGGAAGAAACCAGCCCTGCATTCATGAAGTAATACACTTGGCTGTGACAAAAACTTGGGATATATATTATATTCTACCAAAGAACTCTACTCACACCAGGAGTAACAAACAGATCATTTAATATCACATCATATCATCCCAACAAATCATAGAAGAAACAAAATGAACATGACTACACTGCTATTCACACATTAAAACATTTCTTAAATGTTTGTTTGAGGAGGTGGATATGGTGACGCAAATCTAAATGGCGAAGTTCTGATCAATCTTAGACCCTGTTGTTATCCATGTAATCTTTATTCCAAACACCAAACTTCCAAGATTACATAGCATGCTGAATCAAAGGCTATGATTACCCTATGCAACATGACAGACGCATCCACCCACCCTTAGAATACACAAATTCCATAGCAATATGTGTATACCATATTTTTCGCCCTATAGGATGCACTTTTTCCCCTCCAAAAATGAAGGGGAAATGTGTGTGCGTCCTATGGGGCGAATGCAGGCTATGCGTCCTATGGGGCGAATGCAGGAAGCTATCCGCAAGCCTTGGGAGCCCGGCGGGAGTTCCCGTCAGGCTCCCAAGGCTTGCAGACAGCAGCCTGCAGCCCAAAACCCGGGGAGCGCAGCGGGGCGCACCCCGGGCTTCGGGCAGCTCTCCGCAAGCCTTGGGAGCCTGGCGCGACTTCCCGCCGGGCTCCCTAGGCTTGTGGATAGCAGCCTGTTCTGGGAGCTGGGGTCGGGGGAAGCTTGGGCAAGCTCCGGGAGCGATGGCGAGGTTGCGCAACCTCACCTTCGCTCCCGGACCCCCAGCCCCGAGGCTAAAAATGAAGCCAGGACAGCTAGCGGGATCCATCCCACTCGCTGTCATGGCTTCTTTGCTCTTTGGGGCGGGAAATAATTTTTTTCCCTTTATTTCCCCCCCCCCCCAAAATAAGTGCGCCCTATGGGTCAGTGCGCCCTATAGGGCGAAAAATACGATATATATGAGGTTTTTTTATTTCTCACTTGAAATATCATCGTTTTAAGAGGGGGAAAATTTTCTGGCCCTAGATGAAGCAAAGTCTAGAAAGTAGTGAGTAAGTTGCATACATGATTAGCAAGGAGACAGATTAGAATGTGGTATACATGAGGAAAATACAACACAGGTCACTGCTCTGTTTGTTGTTCAGATGTCATATGTGTTTTTTTCTATAGATATTGTAAAAGTAAAGATGCCTGGTTCAGGGGCAGTAAAGTACTGTATTTTTCGCTCCATAGGACGCACTTTTTCCCCTCCAAAAATTAAGGGGAAATGTGTGTGCGTCCTATAGAGCGAATGCAGGCTGCGCCGCTAAGCCCAAAGGCAGAACAGCGCTCCGTCTTGCTGTTCTAGCTTGGGGACGGCTGCGCGCAAAGCCTCTGCGGGGCAGCGGGGTGCCTTTACCCCGCTGTCCTGCAGAGGCTAGCAAGGCTGTTCCCAAGCCAGAACAGCAAGACGGAGGGCTCCGTCTCGCTCTTCTAGCATGGGGACAGCTGCGCGCAAAGCCTCTCCAGGGCAGAGGGGTGCCTTCACCCCGCTGTCCTGCAGAGGCTAGCAAGGCTGTTCCCAAGCCAGAACAGCAAGACGGAGGGCTCCGTCTCGCTGTTCTAGCTTGGGGACGGCTGCGCGCAAAGCCTCTGCGGGGCAGCGGGGCGCTGCGCTCCAAAGGCTTCAGGGATCTTTGAGGCTGGCGGTGGGGGAAAGCAGCGCTTCCCCCCACCGCCAGCCCCACAAGCTCGGGTGAATGCACCTTGAACACACCTTGTTTTAGAGGGAGAGAACAAGAAAAAAATTTTTTTTCCCCTGTTCTCCCCCTCCTATGGTCCGGTGCGTCCTATGGTCCGGTGTGTCCTATAGAGCGAAAAATACGGTAATGTCATGTTCTAGCCAGCTGATCTTACAGGGGTCCTTAAAATGGGGGCAACAGGTGCATTTTAATGAAACACTGAGCTTGTCCTCTAACCCTATTCATCTTCACTCCAATCTAAATGTTGAGTTTGTGGTTCAGTTCTTTTTTTAAATCTACTCCTATCCTCACCTCAATCCCCACTTAACCCCCACATTGTCCATTCCTGACAGAAATTCTCATTCCCAGGAACTAAACTAAATATTTTGATGAGCTCCTGGGTCTCAGGGAATATGTTTGTTCAAGGCCAAAGTAGCTAACGTAGGGAAGAAAGTGATGTTGGTGGGCAAGGCCTTCAAGGGCAGGGTAACGGTGTTGTATACACAGCTATTCTGCTATCACAGAGAATAGTTCAGAGAATTACTCTGGTAAAGAGAAACACTATTCCTTAAAAGGTACCCGTTCCCAGGGAGGGAGAACATAGATATGGTGGGCACAATGGAAACGTGGTGGGATAGAGAGAACTAGTGTGGGACACTTCTCTCTGGATAGTGACAGTGAAAGTGGAGATGCCCTAAAAACCTTAGTAGGAGAAAGCTGAACTCTGCTGAAATAGTTCAATGACATTGGTTGTCAGCATATTTTACAATTCTTTGTGAGTACTGTTGCACTTATGGCTGATTACAGACTTCGCATAGGAATCAGGATGGCCAATGTGAAAACAGGATGATGGACTAGATGGGACTCTGTTTTGATCCAGCAGGACTGTTATGTTCTTATGCTATGATAACCTGATTATTGTGAATTAAAACCTTGTGTATTTTCCTTCTCAGCTACCTCCTCCCCAATTTACTGCACAGAAAGTTCCCCATTTATTCTGCTACCTTGAAAGCTTTGTACACTCTCTCTTTCTAAGAATGTTTTGTCCACAAATTTTTAAGACCTTCCATGTTCAGCTACTCCTTTCAGCTGTTCCTTCTAGGTGTAGGCAGCTCGCTGATACATTTTTGCTGCTCCTCTCCCCAAAAGATTCAATAGTGAGGTAGTCACTAATTCAGCAACCTCACAGTTCTTCTCTGGAATGAAGTACTCATCTTGCAAAAACGTTTCCCATACATTTCTTTTCAACAGGACATATGCTGAATCCAAACTTCCCATCATTCAAATCAGTAACTTTGAATTCATCTTATATTCCTGCCTTTCATTTTTACAACAATGCCAAATTTGTCCAGTGCTTCAGTTCTTCTTTCCTTTAACCCCAACACTCACACCTGACCTTTCAAGTGCATTTGTTCTTCCTTATTTGACATACTGTAACTACAACAGCCTTCCTTGATCCATATCTCCATCTTTTACTCAAGTTCTCCCGCTGGCCTTTTAGTTAACTGTGTTTCAAAGTCAAATGCTTTCAGTCAGACTGACTGTGCAATCCTAACTCACAGATATACTGGATAGAGGAGGTTACGATGTGGCATATTTCCCAACACTCCCTCCCTGCTGTCCAAATGAGCTGACATGAAGGACTTACTCTGGCGTATTTACTTACATTAGCTGAAAGTGTTAGTTAAGTTGGCAGAAGTTACACCACTGTTGAGGCCAAAAAAGGGTATGTCAAGGTCAGGAAGAGGAGCAAACATTGCATCCTAATTCCCTCCAATCACTGATCCTGTATAGGGTTCAGTGTGCCTACACCAACAAAATTGCAGGTGTGACTAAAATCCACCCCATACGAGTCAGTGGAAGGGCAGAAAATGATCCAGCCAACAGCAATTATGATGCAGCTTCATTTACACTGGAAATATGCCAGTGTGCCTGCCTGGTTAGGATTGCTCCTACTTACCATCCCCCAACAGGTATTTTACTTTTTGTTGTTGCTCAAAAAATTGCTCAAATCTATCCATCCCAAACAGAGTAATAAACAAGAAAAGGGGAAACTGTGATGGCTGAATGTTAATTACAGTTAATTAGGATGTCACCAGATAATTGCTGCAAAACAGATATATTGTACCATGCCAACTGGTGATGAGACAGTGGCATTTTATCTTGGCACCCGTTACCATACAAGTAAAAACGGGGGGGGGGGCAAGGCAATTATTTGCAACGATCATTAACGAGGATCCCGTCATGCATAAACATTCCGACTAGACAAGACAAATGCGCTGTGCGGCATTGAAGCAGGTGACCCCTGCTTCCGGGCCGGGCGGAGAGGGGCATCGTTTGCAGACACCGCGGTGCGAGGTCAACCGGGGTCACACCTGCTCAACAAACCTTCGCGGTTACCGCGTAGGCTGCTGTGGGGGGACGACACCCGCCGATACAGAGGCACAAGAGCCACGCGTGATATTAGGCTTCGCCAAGCTGTCGCGCTGCGCTTCAACCTTCAGAGCCACCTTCACGCCCGGCAGGATCCCCTGCCGGCCTTGGGCTCCGAGGTGCCCGACGGCCGCCGTTCAGTTCCATGCCTGACCTCGCCTCGCCCTGAAAGCGGGCAGGGCCCGGAGGCAACGGGAGGCGCCCCAAGATAAGAGCCACTCCCCGCTCGCCTTCAGCAGCCCGTTCGGGGCCTTCCGTTAGCCACGGGCAAGAGGCAGCGGGGCGAGGCGAGGCGAGGCAGGGCAGCCTTCCCCCGGGCACGACTGCGGCCTCCCCCGCCTCGCCGCCCCGCGTCCCCCCGTTGCCCTTGGTGCCCGTCAGCACCTTCGTGGCAGCCCCAGCCCGCGACCTGCCCCTCCGTCTTCCCCCGCGGGAGGCGGTACCTGCCGAGCGGCGCAGAACGAGCGCCCGAGCGCCCGGTTGAGGCAGCGAGCCCGGGCCAGAGAAAGAAGCAGCATCGCGGAGGAAGAGGCGGCGGCGGCGGCGGCGGCAGGAAGAGCCCCAGGGCGCACACCGGAAGCAGGCCCGGCGGAGGCCGGATGCAGCCTGGGATCGACCAACCGCGGCTCGAGAAAGGGGCAGGGCGCGACGGGCTGTACCAATCGCGGCTCCCCGAAGCACAAAGGGAGGGCGGGGCGAGGAGAAGTCGGGGAGCAGAACGGCCCTGAGGGCGAGGAGAGCGGCAGCCGGCGTAGACCCTACAAGAGTGAAGAGGAGCACGCGGCGTCCAGCTTCAGAGTCGATTGCAAAGGCCGCTTTTAGCCTCTGCAGGAGCGCAAATGAAGCAAATGGGCAGCAGTAGTGGCTGTGCTTGTGCAGCGTGCTGTTCCTCCCTCAAGCAAAACACACACCCGAAAACGATCTTTCGAACTGTAGAATATATGTATATATAGCTCCAGGAGAATCCCTCTCCATTAAGCAAGTTGTCACTCTATTTTTTCTATCTCTGTGGGCTCCAGATCTTGCCCTGCATCTTCCATTCCTGCAGTCGTGTGCGTTTCCCTCAAAAGCATTTGCAGAGGCGAGCCCTCGAACAAGGAGGGGTGTGCTCTGGGAAGTGGGGCTGCAGGGGGCAGAACTGGACAGGAAACTTTCCTTCTGAGAACTTCCCTAAGTTAACCACACTGGACCATAGCTGTCAACGTTTTCCGTTTTCTAAGGGAAATTCCCTTATTCCGAATAGGATTCCTCGCAAGAAAAGGGAAAAGTTGACAGCTATGCCCCGCACGCCCATCTGCTTCGCGGTTTGCGTGGGCGGCTGCAGAAAGGAAGGAAAGGGAGACAAGTTTCCTGCCACGACCTTCCTCATTTTTGGATCTAAGTCATTGCCCTTTCTTTGCAGCATGATTTAATGCACAAGCACGCTGTAAACGCAACAGTTACTTTGCGGGATGTAAGATCCAGGATTAACCTAGTCCAGCCTCCAGTTTCCAACGGTGGGCAGCCCCAATGCCTGCGAGCTCATAAGCGAGACAGGATAGCGCTGTCTTTCCGCCAAGGCTGGCTCAATACGTTTTGCAGCCTGAGATGAAGGACAAGTTGGTGCCTTGCTTCACACGCAGAACCTTACTGGAATGGCACTGAGGACAGGACAGAACCTTTCATTTCACCTGAGAAAAGAGGCTTGTTCAGGGAGCTCAGGACAGGCTTTGTGGCATCCACATTTCTGGAAGCGCAGGCGGAATGGCCGGGTGCTGCCGCCTAACACTTGCCACCTGAAGTGATTGCCCCACCTCTGCCTAGTGGCAGGTCAGCAGTGCAACTCACCTAGCCAAAGTGGCAAAGTTTTTGGGGGCCCCTGCAAGGTAGAGCAATACAAGCCCCTGTTGGGAAGTGGTGAGGTTTGAAGAAGAGCAGTGTAGGCACCGCTGTATCCGCAGCTCCATCACTCACCCATGCTACCTAGGGCAGAAAGTGGGGGGCAAACGAAAACCTTTCGGGATTTTCCACACCCACCCATACATTTGGTGGGCAGAAAAGGGAACTCCATTGGTAGAGGGCAGCAGAGCTGTTTGAGACTCAATGAAGTGAATCCTCTGCCTCATCTGCCACCTTACTGTGAATTAAGGATTTTTAAAAATCTTTTTATATATTTTTATTATATTTAAAGCTAAGAAGGTGGTTTCAGAAATTACTGAGACTCAGCACTGATCAATTGGTCAGTCAAGTCCTCATTTGGCTGACAATACTTGAGAGTAACTTCCATTTTTTGTTTGAAAGAGCAATTATTGTTCAAATGACGCTTTGAGGTGGAATTCATTCACATACCATCAAATGTAGGTTGTGCTATTGGAGCTCTTCCACAACAAACCCATGTCCCCTAAATTTGGCTTTTTGCAATAAAGTGTAGGATAATAACTCTTGCTTGAACTAACCTCCACACAAACAAATAAGAAAGAATGCTCAATAAATAGCTGCCATCTAATATCCCTGCAAACAAATCAAAATGAATACTGAAGAAACAGGTTGTCCGGGAGCAACCACAGTGTAAATGTTAAATCCCACATGTGAACTGCACCTGATGGTTGCATTTCTGTTTTACATATTCATAGGCTTCCTCAAGCTGGTTGGCTGCTGTTGGCCTTCTTCACAGCCCTGTGACTGGTGCTGCAGTTAGAGGGATCTTTAATGACAGCACCAGTGATTCAGTGCCCTCTTTCTCAGTAAAGGGGTCTGCAGATGATGTAAAAGTACAGAATAGCATTCCATATACCTTTGCCAGCCAAGGTAAGTGGTCAATGCTACACAATCTCCGTGTGGAGGTTTAACTTTGCAGATTTTAGTTAGAAAGACTAGAAGCAACTTGTTTTTAAAATATCTCTGACAATACCTTTTTATCATGCTTTTTCTTTTAGAATCTCCTTTAAAATTCTTTCCACTTGCAGTTTGAGGGTATGAAAAAGCAACTTTTATTATTTGGGTAGTGTCTGATTGCTGAGAAGGATTTAAGAAGTGTCAATACTCTGACTATTTGCAGAGATCTTAAGAAAGTTTGATGAAGTACCCAGACATTTGGTGCATGTCTCAGATAAATTTGGGTCTGAATTCAGGACTGAGTCATGATGAATTTGTCAGGATTCCTCTTGAGAAAACTTTTTGAGAAAGGTTGTTTTGGAAAGGGCATCAGATTCTTTCAATATCTTGAGATAATGTCTTACTGTTCAATGTCTTCTGTATGCAGTGAGAGGTTTGGCTGTTTGGTAAAGTACCTTTGGCAGCTGATGGAAATAGTTTCTCACAGTACTGTAGCTGTGTTTTTACATTCTTTCTTTAGAGATTTCTGGAGGAGACTATAAGGGTGCAGATAGTAACTCTAGCTGTAACATGGTCATGACTGGTGAGCATGCTTGCATTGGCACAAATGTGGGGCTTCAATCCATAAAAGACCTACCCTGATGAACATCTGACTCCTGTAATTCAGTCAACATTGGCATATTCACTGCAGCCAAAATAGGCACAGAAGGTGCAAAAGAGTGCCAGAAAGAATGCCGTGATTAGATAGGAGGGTAGATTTCAGTTAAATGTTCAGAAATTCTTACTCATTATAAGAACAGTTTAGCAGTGTTATAGGCTAATGGGAATGTTGTAGGATCTCTTGGGGGATGCTTCTTAGAATATATGATATACTACTTTGGGCTGGGTGTTGAATTTTCCAACTCTTCCAGCTCTATTGTTTGTTTTCTCTAGACAGACTGTAGTATTTGAACAGAGATAGAAGATGAATAAAGGAAAGAATCATTTCCGTACATATGGAAGGCTTATGATTTTTATAAAATACTAGATAGTATATATTCTCTTCCTTTCTTTTGCCGCTCCAGATTTCTGGCCTTCAAAAGTGTTTTTTAAAAAAGAAAAGTCATCACCTATTGTGTCGCATTCATAAGTTGTGCCTGTATTACAATCTCCTTACCCAAATAACTCCTACTATTTTGTTGGATACTAACCCTGCATCTTAAAGGAGAAATAGATATGAATGGGAATCCTATTGCTGATCATTGTGATTACAGACCTACTTCTGGACATGCTGGTGGACAAAAAGGAGACACTTGTGTTGAAAGAGACTGTTTCTTTTCCCCTGCTTCTTACTATGCATCCATAATATCACATCTCCTCAGCCAGCCAGAACCTAACGGTGAGCTAGATCCTAGCTTTCTTCTCCCTTCCTCACAGAAAACTGAACTGCTGTTCCAAAGTGCTGGGAATGGCACATGTTCCAGGGAAGCCTCCTCCCCGAGTCCTGACTGTGGCTTGATTAACTCTAGTCAGTTCCATAATGAACACCTGCAAGCTAAGAGGGCCAGGGTGGAAAATATTATCCGGGGAATGAGCCTGACACCAAACCCTATAGTGCCTGGTATCCAAGTGGAAGGAGATCAAAACCATTTAGAGAAAGTAAAGGGGAGCTATAGAGAGAACAAGAGAAAGCAGAGAGTTCCTCAGCAGCAAAGTCTGCACGATATTTCTCTGGCAAGAGCTGGCCAAAATGGTATTCAAGTGGAAGAATACCTCCAGCTGAAAAAACAGCTCCACATTTTGCAGCAGCAGCTGAAGCAACTACAAGAGAGGTTTGCTCAGCCTCATGAACTGAATGATTCCAGTCCAAGCCAAGGAAGTATGGAGAAGACTTTGGGTTTGCTGAAGGAAAAGTTTGGACAAAGCTTGGATAGCGGTAGTCAAGGTGTTTCAAGTGGCTATCGCAGAGATCGTTTTTGTAGAAGCATCCCCAAGACGAGAGGATCTGAATGGTCAGAGAAAGGAACAAGAACATCAGATTCGCATAGTCTGACTTCAGAAGACAGAGCTCTTTCAGAGATATTGAAACGTGAGTTAATACAGGTGGTGACACAGGCTGTGGACTCTGTCTTGAAGCAAGTATTGCCTGAATCCCCAGACCCTCAGCCCCATCTGCCAAGTAGTCCCACAGTAACAGCCTCCTCTACTGGGAGAGAATTTACAGGTGCTGCAGCAAGTGCATCCAGCAAATGGCTTCCTAAGATTTCTTCCCATAAAAGCACCATTTCAGTAGCCACAGAAAAACCTCCTGCTTTTCCTTCCTATCCCATCCGCTCAAAAATGGAGAGAAAACCCTGCCAAGTACCACCCGTGAATTATCCCTTGGTTATGACCTCTGAAGTTCAAGGAAACAGTATTTTTAGCCAAATGCTGCTATGTGGTCAGAATAGCCCTTGGGGCAGCCTGTCTCCAAAAATGGTCCCTTCTCCAGAATGCTTAGATAGGCCATGGCGACCAATCAAACTGAAGTCATCTGTCATGAGACACCAGCGATGTCCAACACCCTATAAATCTGCTGAAATTGAAAGTTTGGCCTCTCTTCCAGCTTCAAATTCAGAGTTGGCTGAAATGCAAGCTTTGATGGATGGAATGTACTTCCCTTCAATACATATATCCTTCCTGTATCATCAGCATCTTGCATCAGCTGTGAGTGGCTGTTAGTAGTAGGCAAATCTGTTCATTACAGCTTCTCCCAGTTTCTAACTATTTTTTCAGTTTCCATTGGTGTTTTTTTTATTATCCTCAGGAAAATTCACCAGCCTTCCAGTGCATATTACGTCTAACTATAATGCACTTTTTTTGTTTCCCCCCACTAATACTGGCACCATCCTTACTGAGATTCAGACATCCAGTCAAAAGCACAGTATTTTATTTCAGCATCAGGGGCATTGCTGCAGGGGGGAATGGGTTATGCACTCATCACCCCACTCCAAAATACATTCTCCAAAAACAGTTTCTAACCAAGTGACCCCAATGGGATTTTTGTTTTACACACACTTGGCTGTAGCATTTCACATCACATTGAGCTAGCATATTTGAACAGCAAATAACATATTTTGACATTCTGTAACCAGAATCTTACAGGTTTCCCTCATTACATGAAGAAGCAGGACAACTCCACTACTTTATGTTCTGGATAAATTTATAGAACTTAATAAGAAGTAAGTAAAAGTTTATCTCATTCATCAAATGGCTCTGCCCTTGCAGGAATGGAGCAACAGAAACATTAACACATGAGGGTTTTTGTATGTAACTTTTATAGAGGTGACCAGAATAAATTATTTACTCCCACCCTGCTAAAATACCCAGGAAGGATCTAGTTATTGGCTGACACAAACAAAATAATAGCAAAAATAGTTACTAGATTTCTCTTTTCTGCTGCAAAGACCCATAAAGAGATTTTGTTAACTTCATTGTATCTTGGTTTGTTAATGTCCTTAGTTTATATGTAAGTACTGTACCATATATTTCAACTTGGTTTTTTAATCTCTTAGCAACAGCAATGTAACAATAGTCTAGGCTAAAAAACAGGCTTTGCAGCTCATCTAGCTCTGCCTAGTTCTCCTTAGTAAAGGCACTGTCTCTCTTAAACATTCTCTGTCAGATTAGCCCATAAAAGCCTGACCTCAGCATCTGAACTATTCAAGATTCAACATTGTGTTAAGGGCTCTCATCATGCCCAAACATTTAGAGAGCTATCACACCTTTAAGAGCTGTGCAGAAGGAAAAATTATCTCAGGTGAAGCTTCCCTCACCACTGCAAGTAAAGACACACCTAAACAAATTCTGCCTTCCTTTTAGGATTGGTTCTTTTAGGATCTGGATCTGGGAAGCTTAACTGCACTACATGTGCCTATGGAACAAGAGAGATTTCCAGAAAAATAAATGCAAGTCAAACAAGTGACTGGTACAATGCAGGATCTCACACTAGGTCAGATACTACTCCTGATGAATAACTCCTGACCTAGGGTGAGATCCTGCATTGTAATAGCTTTGATCATTGAGAAAACTAACATGGACGATAGAACCTGCACTCAGTAACGTGACTGCTCAGCTTCCTCCCCTTCCTCTTGCTGTGACAAGTTGATTCCTGCACGCTACAATTGATAGACATGGAATCACTGCTATATAATGACAACAAGAAACACCATTTGCCAGCAAAAGCTCTGCATCAGGAGTTGGCCGCCCTTAAACATTGTTCAGCAATTGTTCAGCAAGGTAGAGTGTTACACAGACCCAACTAATGTTAGCTAGGGGGACTGGGAACAGCAAGCAACTTTTTCCTTGACTCCGAATTACATCCAGGAAGCTTTAACCCCTGGCCATCTGAAAAAGGCTAAGCTGATGTTCTTCTTCTCTCGCTACCCCACATCTTCTCTGCTGAAAACCTACTTCCTAGACGTCCAGGTAAAAGTATTTGGCTTATTGTATTCCAAAGTTAATGTAAAAATGTGCAGATGTTGATTTATTACAGGTTTTGTTCCAAGAAACTGAAAGAGGAAGAAAGGTATTGCAAGAAAGAAGTACCAGCTAGCAAATGTGCATACCAGTATGTACAAAATAATTGTAATTGAGGGGTGGGTGAGGGGTTGTTGTTTGTTTGTTGTTTTATTATGTATTTGTGTTTTTATATTGTAGTTTTATGTTGTGAAGCAGCCCGAGATCTACGGATGAAGGGCTGTATACAAATTTAATACTTACAAAATAAATAATAATTTTAGACTGTACCACTCCTGCCTGTCTGCCTAGTCCCCAGCCTCTCATTTGGATAAAATGTTTCATTCTGGGGTATGCTTGTTTATTGGTGAGCTATATTAGGTTTGATTTTGATGGAGAAAGGTGGAATGTAAATAATTAAAATAATACATTGGATTGGATCAGTACATCCTCCGTAAGGTTGTGGGTGTCAGGTTGGAATCAGTGCATACCACAAAACAGTTCAGAATTTCCCTGACTTTTCTCATGAGTGAAGCACAAGGCCTCTTTGGAGATCAGTGGTGGAGCGTTGGTGGTCCCTAGTGACAGTTTACAGAGCAGCAGTATTATTATGCTTATTCACAATGGATGGCAGGGGGAGGGGAGGAATGGATGGCCCATTGGTGCTATAGACTTATAGAGGCATTGTTTTCCACAAGAAGTTGAAGAAGGAATTAAAATAGAGGTTTGACCTGGTTTTTGATATAATGCATATATTCCCAGTAAAAACCTGGCAGTGTTTATCTTTGTGGGCAAGACCTACTAATAGGTTTGCTTGAAAGTATGTCTTGATTAGCAAAGGACATATTTTTCCCTGCAATTATTCTTTTAGTTCAGTGGTGGTTAACATAGGTCTCTCCAGGTATTGTTGAACTCCACCCTCAGCCAGCATGTCAGGGATGGTGGGAGATGTAGTGTAGAAAAATCTAGAGGATCACATCAGCCACACAATCTGTCTGTTGCCCCCTTGCCCTATTGAAAGTGACTTCTGCTCCAAAATAAAGGGGCAAGGTGGAACCTGCTAATTAAGAAGACAAGCTGTCTGCATCGGGGGAGTCATATGCCCATGACTCACTGTTTCTGCTCATGTCTTCATGCTCCTTCACCATGGGTGTTTTCAATGTTATGCCTCCAAAATCTGTCTCAATATTTCCCATCCACACAGGTGGGAGGTGCTTGTTAGGATGTACATATCCAAGAATACCATGTTACATGCTCTTTCCATAGTTCACCCGCTGCATCACCTCCCAGCTCATCAAGTGGTTTAGCAACTTCCGTGAATTTTATTACATCCAGATGGAAAAGTTTGCCAGGCAAGCCGTCTTGGAGGACCTCACAGATCCCAGTGACCTCATTGTTACCAGGGACTCTGAGCTCTTCCGGATCCTCAATGTGCACTACAACAAAGGGAATGATTTTGAGGTGAGGTTACACTTGCTACATAGTTTTATTTTGCCTCTTGTGGCATTTTTCTGAGAAAATGCCCTTTTTACCAGAACTAGATAACTCCCTAAAACATAAGGACATAAACAGTGAAACAGAACACTTTAGGCTGTGCAGAAATGTAGTCTTTTAAGCACACTGGTGTTGGTTTCCCCCCACAATATGCTTTTGTACATTGCAGGTGGTAATTGTACATGCCTTCGTACAATCATGTCATCTAAAGCGGCAGCATGTACATCTGTCTGTACACACAGATCAACATGTTTTTTCCAAACTAGTGCACAGCAATGTTCTTTATTCCCCTCTCCTCAATTAGTGTTTTAATATAATTAAGCAAGCAAGGAAACTTTTTCTGCAGGATATTCAGGACATTCACTTTGATGAAGATCAGTCCACCCTAAGCACATGTCAAATTGACCAGTGGCTGCTTCATAGTCCTAACTTTCTTCTTCTCTGTCTGTAGGTTCCTGATGGTTTCCTGGATGTTGCTAGTCTGACCCTTCAGGAGTTCTTTAGTGCTGTCAGGGCAGGGAAGGACTCGGACCCGTCCTGGAAAAAGCCGATTTACAAAATAATTTCTAAACTAGATAGTGAAATACCAGATGCATTTAAATCCTCCACTTGCCCCAAAGAGCTGAACCAAGGTTAATGCGCAGTTATCATGGCAACTGGTACATGTGACTATAAAACAAAGCTATCGCTTGAGGAAGAGGCTGGCCAATGTCAACATCAAATTTCCACTACATACCAATGTAATGATTGAGATTGGACTTTGTAAAGAGCGCATAGTACCATCAATAGACTGATTACTTTATGGAGTAAAGTATACGAAAGGCACTATTCTGGGGTGGGGAACCTCCTCCTTTCCATCTGCTGGTATTCCTAAATGGCCACTATGTCCATTGTCAGTTCTACATACTGTGTTACTCTCATTATGTCCATGTTCACTGGGGCTTATGGAAACATCTGGACCACACTAGGCTGATGAAGGGTGACCTACAATTTGATCCAGGGTTCGCTAACCTGGAGCCCTCCAGGTTTTTATTTATCATATTTATACATGACTGTTCTGCCAAGGGACCCAACCTCTACTGGCTCCAGCCAGCATGGTCAGTAAGAAGGGATGCTGGGAGCTGTAGCCAAGCAATGTCTGGATGTCACAGGTTAGTTCCCTTTGATGTAAACCTTGCCAAGCCCCCTACACGAAAAGCTAAGCTTTCCACAAGCCCAACTGTATCCTCTTATGTTTGCTATTTGACTAGTCTCAAGCCCCCATTTTGCTAAAGCTCCAAACCCAAAACTGTGTGCCTGTAAATAAACTTTCGTAAAAGCTTCTGTAAACCTTCACAAGAACTTCAATTTTGCCTGTGAGCAGCCCACAGCCTTATGCATGTTTACTCAGAGGTAAGTTCCATTTGTATTCAATGGAGCTTTGCTCTGATTAAGTATAGATAGGACTGCAACCCTTAAGTAACTTAGCACTGCTTTTCTTATATTCAAATGTAGCTTGTTATTAGTCTCGTCTGTGTATTTCTAATGTGCCCCTTGGTGTTGTCAGGCACAATAATTTTGAGCACTCTTCCTCAGTTTCTCTGGAAGTTGCAGTAAACATACTTTAAGCCCATTAGAAGTATCCGGTTCTATCCCTTAGGTTTTGCTGACATTATATACTGTAGTTTCAGTTTATCATTCCTAAATTGTATAGCTTTGGTGCCCAGTTTATCATAAAATAAACAGGATGAGCAGGATGTTATTATGAAGCAAGAGGTTGTCTGAGATGTTGTGAAATTAGGGACAAATAAAAAGGAATACAAAAAAATAAAATGCACAAAATGCACTAACCTTGCACTCAGTTATTAAATCCGATGCTTAAGCATTCCACATTCCAGTGATAGGTCCTTCTATCATTAAAACAGTTGGCAAAGTTTCTTCTTTCTCCGTGTTCTAGCCAGACATGTGTTTATACAGTGGTACCTCGGGTTACATACGCTTCAGGTTACATACGCTTCAGGTTACAGACTCAGTTAACCCAGAAATATTGCTTCAGGTTAAGAACTTTGCTTCAGGATGAGAACAGAAATCGTGCTCCGGTGGCGTGGCAGCAGCAGGAGGCCCCATTAGCTAAAGTGGTGCTTCAGGTTAAGAACAGTTTCAGGTTAAGTACGGACCTGTGGAACGAATTAAGTACTTAACCTGAGGTACCACTGTATATTCTTCTGGCTTCCGTCCAGAGAGGCTGAGGCAATCCACTAAAATGGGTCACATATAAATAATAAAATTATTAATATAGACACTTTTAGCAATTTGTTTCCCTTAATCCCCAGTTATATGGATAACCCGGTCAAGTGGAAACAGACTGAGATGTGCTCAACGAAGCTGTATTCACTGTTTCCTCCAGTTGGTTAGCTATGTCTGAAAGACTTTACAAACGTGTAAAGTAAAAAGGGAAGTTTTCTGCTACTTTTTGAGGGAAATTTATACAGTAAGGCAAAAATGGCTACTCTGTTCCCTCTGCATAGACAACATATTGTTACTTCCTTCCCACTTCTCTGTGTAGAAGGCGATTGAGAGGGACAGCACATAACCCAGGATTGGTTTCCTTTGGAAAAAGAGACCACTGGAGGCTTAGGGCATTTTGTTAATATTTGAGTTTATTTACAAATACACAACGTAAGCACAGGTGGAGGGAAACAGCGCAACACCCGCCTTCCACTTTTAGCACCGCTCATTTCCCTCGAACTTTCCTTGGCTATGAGCGGCGGGCGCGGCGCTACAGAGCCCTCTTCGAACTCTGGGCAGCAGGCGGCGGCGAAGAGAGGCGGAGTTTGCGAGCTGTATGCAGATGAGGCGCCGCCGCGGAGCATTGTGGGGAGGCGCGAACCGGGGCGCGAGGCGGGCATGGAGAGGTCGGTGCTCCGTCAGGCTGGGCCGATAGATGATGCCCGGCTGCGGGCGAGCGAAGGGAAGCGAGGATGGGGCCCTCGTGCGGAGATCGGTATGCTCGCTGTGCCTTGAAGGGGTGCGGGAGGACGCCGGCCCGGGTCCTGTCTGATGAGAAAGCATACTTACCTGGCAGGGGAGACACCTTGATCATGAAGGAGGTTTTCCCAGGGTGAGGCTCATCCATTGCACTGCGGGTGTGCTGACCCCTGCGATTTCCCCAAATGCGGGAAACTCGACTGCATAATTTGTGGTAGTGGGGGACTGCGTTCGCGCTTTCCCCTGATGACTGGTGTACAAAAAACAGAAAAGAAAATGATTGATGTTAGGTTAAGGCTGGGTTGTTTTCTGCTAGCTAGTTTTTACTTTAACGCAGGAAGTGTGTACAGTAAGTGGGGAAATAATATTTGTATGTTAGGACACCACCGCAGCGAACAGATGCAAGAGCTGTCGTGGGCTCTTTTGACTTGTAACTTATTAGGTTGATGCGTAGCAGTTAGTAAGCACTTTGGGTTTTGCTCAATTGGCTACAACGCCATCTAACAGTTACCAGTCCAGTCCACATTTTACTAGCTTCTCCACAATAATACCCACAGGGGATTTTGTCAAAAGCCTTAAAGCAGTGTTCCCAATTGCTAATTAATGAGGACTCCCTATTTTTCAAAAGCCAAGCCACGGACCCCCTACTTTTGAAAATTTTGATAACTCTATGGTAGTTACCTCTGCAAAGAATTTGCACTCTATGGTAGTTTCTTCTGCAAAAAAATTTTTTTGACACAATGTGGGTTAAAGGTAAAGGAACCCCTGACCATTAAGTCCAGTCCCCCCAATAAACAAAGGATTTTAGGTATACTAAAAAACAGACTAGGGCTGAGCGATACCTGATTTTCAACGTCGTGATATAACAGCAGTTAAACATTACAATTTTCCGATATATCATGATGTCTGAATGAAATTGGGGATCAGGCGTGAGGATGTGTATTGAAATTGGCTGCCTTGCTCTCTCCCATGAGGAGCGATAGAATGCTGCGTATTGCAAGGTTAGAATCGTTTTCCCGCAAAACCGATTTTGGCCAATATATTTAAAGACCGCACAGCGCTAAAACATATTTTAAAAAATTATATTACCATACAAAAGGGACAAAATAATTAGAACAAGTGAAGGCGGTGAAAGCATTCCGAGATTAACGAAAAGCACACCACAACCAGCATTTTCTCTTCTGTTTTTTGTACACCAGTCATCAGGGGAAAGCGCGAACGCAGTCCCCCACTACCACAAATTATGCAGTCGAGTTTCCCGCATTTGGGGAAATCGCAGGGGTCAGCACACCCGCAGTGCAATGGATGAGCCTCACCCTGAGAAAACCTCCTTCATGATCAAGGTGTCTCCCCTGCCAGGTAAGTATGCTTTCTCATCAGACCGGACCCGGACCGCCTTCCTCCCGCACCCCTTCAAGGCACAGCGAGCATACCAATCCCCGCACGAGGGCCCCATCCTCGCTTCCCTTCGCTCGCCCGCAGCCGGGCATCATCTACCGACCAGCCTGACGGAGCCCCGATCTCTCCATGCCCGCCTCGCGCCCCGGTTCGCTCTCCCCCACAATGCTCCGCGGCGGCGCCTCATCTGCATGCGGGAGTCTCTCCGCCTCCTCACGCCCTTCCCTGCCAAGCCGCGTTCAGGCCAAAGAGGGGGCGGAGCTGCTGACTCTCAGTCCCAGCGGCCGCCTCTCTGTTTAGGGCACCGCCGGAGGAAGAAGAGAAGTTGGTTTGAGGCAGAGTTTGTTCGCTCGCCTTGTCGTCCTCGCGCTGCCGAGCACCCGGCTTGCAAGGGCGATGACCAGGCACGCTTTGGCTCCACAGCCCAGGAGACAGGGCGGGAGAAATAGATTTCAGTATTCGCTCACATTCCCAGCCCATTTTTCCGGCCTCTTTTGCTCTGCTCCTCCCATGCCCTCCCTCAGCCACTGAGTTTTGCTCAGGACAAACTTTAAAAACCGAAAACTTATGACAGTATAGTTAACCAAATACCACAGAGAAAGCAATTAGAGCTACTCTCACGAGGAGAAGCTACTGGACAAAACAGAGTGGCAGAGAAGACAATCCACACGAACATGACCGGTTGCCTCAGGATTAAAAAGAAACCCCCGGGTTGTGGGGAAACGGTGAAAACCCACTAAAAATAAATAATCTGAAAGTGACAGCAACCTGGAAAAGAAACCTCTTTTAGCTGAACAATACTGAACGTCTACAGTAGTTCCTCTGCACTCTTGCTCGTTCCATGGACGCCGTAGGATGGCGCTGCTGGAAAGCCGTTGTCTCCGGAGAAGCACATATTTGAAATAATTTATTGTCACTTGTACAACTTGTATACAGTGAGATTACACGCGCACCCCCCACTCAGCTCTCTTAGTCTTAATTCCCCCCACACACACCAAACCCGAAAGTCAGTTGTTATCTTTTCATTCAGCAGTCTAACAGCCCACGGATAGAAGCTGTTCTTGACCCTGTTGGTGTGACTAATCATGCTTCTATATCTTCTGCCTGAGGGCAGGAGATCAAGAAAGTGCCGGCCAGGGTGTGAATCATCCCTGAGAATTTTCTTCACTCTCCTGAGGCAACATTCTTCCGCTATTTCATCCAGCGGATTCATGGGACAGCCCATAATATCTTGTGCTGTATTCACCACCCTCTGTAGGCACTTCCTATCAG